TTTTCAGGACGGCTTCTGACGGCATTCTCACAAGTGATGTCGTCCCGCCACAATACATCATCTCTGTGGATGACACGGCAAAGAAGGTGAATCTTTATCGTCGCCAACAGGAGGTTGCGCAGTCTGCAGCGAGCAGTGGGGGAGAAGTTGGAGTCCAACAGCTTGTCGAGACCTTTGAGGCCAAGGCATCAAAAAGGACAGGTTCCACATCTCCGGCCGCCTCAACTGGCGCGCCCACTGCAAAGACATTTTTCCCAGGGAAGGTGAAGCCTCCGCCACCAAATGTGGCCCAACTTGCCGGTATGCCTGGATATGCAAGCAGCAGACTGTTGCCCCCTCCTCCAAAGGGTGAAGCTCCGAAACCTCCTGCAGCAAAGGTTGAAGGACCGAAGACACCGCCAAAGGTTGAAGGACCGAAGACACCGCCAAAGACACCGCCGAAGACACCTCCAAAATCATCACCGAAGGAAGGGACTTCTGCACCTCATGCACCAGAAGTTCCAAAAGCTGTGACCTCAGAAGTTGATGCAGCGGCAAAGGACGAACCTGCAAAGAAGAAGGCAGCCCTAACAAGCGTGCCAGCAGCTGTGCCTGCGGCATCATCGGCTGCAGCCTTCTTGGAGCCTGTTCCAAAAGTTGCACCACCAAAGGCAGTGCAGAAAGATCCAAAAGCTCCAGTTGCAGAGTCGCCCAAAAAGACGCCAGCAGCAACATCAAAGTCACTGGTGCCAAAGCAGAAGTCTCGCCCTAAAGGCGATGACCAACCTTCAAAGAAAGAGGTGAAGAAGGAGGACAAGAAGCCGGTGCCGGTCAAGATCGAAGTCACGCAATGCTCAAGATGTTTTGCACAGACTTTCAAGGGACAGATTGAGTGCGATGTGTGTGGTTTGATACTTGAAGGGATCAACAAGGCCGACCGAACCAAAATTGCAGAACGAAGAAAGGCCGCCCTTCACAAGCTGGGATTATACTACGATTTCCGTGGGGAATACCTGCAACAAATCACACATGGCCAACTTGAAAATTTGGGTTTGTTGGACGATCAGGCAAGAGGAAGCTCAAGTCCGGAAGCCGGTCTATTGGCAAGGGCCAAGAGTCGCTTCGACCGTGCCTTGAGTTTGGGCTATGTGTCTGTGGCTGACAGGTTTGCCCAGGACGCCACATTCGCAGAGAGCGTGTTGAACGAGGGGGAGAACGAGTACGATTGTGAAAGGTACGACCTCCTCAAGTCCGCTCATTTGCCAAAGCCTGGTCGCACCAAAGCTCAGGTCAAGATGGGTATTTCTGAGCAATCCCAGCTGGAGCACAATGCAATGAGGCTGGTTTACTTGGATTTGGCCAGTCGCTATGATGTCCCAAAGTCTTTCAGGTACATTGACCAGCCATGGTTCTACATGTACCGAACCGAGATCTACTCCGAGGAAGAGTACATTGACTACCTCAACAGGAATCCTGGACACAATCTTTTGTTGTCTTGCACTGGTGTTGACAACATTGCTGTTCATGATGCCGAACGTCATTTGAGGTGGATTAAGGGACAAAATGAAGAGCTGTACAAGCAGAACGCAGCAGAGAAGAAGAAACAGTCTGACAGGGCCCGCGAACAAAACGAGGCCAAGCGCAAAGCTGAGCAGACTGGTGCGTACGGCCAAGGTCCCTCCAAGAAAGGCACCGCCAAACCGGTTGCCCGAACATCCACAAGCGTAGAGGTAGCTTCATCATCAACGTCTGCAAGTCAGTGGCTCAATCGCCCTCAGCAAAGTCATTCCCAAGATGATCGACAGTTCACCAACGAGTGGCAGAAGTGGCATGGGCGCTGGTACCAAAAGGTTATCAGGCATGGCCGAGTCGAATGGGAAGAGGGATAAATTTTGACACTGCTTGCATTGACGATCGGTTTTTGTATAATAGCCGCCAAGTGTGTTTTCCCTTGGGTTTGCAAAGAGCAGGTTCGGTGAGGCAGGTCTTAAAGACCTCGCCCTGGTAAATGCGGCATCCTCGCCGTAACCGGCTCACCTGAGGGGGGTGTAAAATCACCTCACCATAAAACACACATGTAATGTAGCACTCACTACAGCGTTGCGGCTCAGGACAAAAAGTGCTTGTGCTGTCTAGCTTAGCGGTTGTTGGTTCCACCTTTAGGTTTATCAGTCCATCTGGGATAATAGTAACATCCCTTGCTGAAACCTGAAAATACACTTCCCTCAAGAAAGGGTATGGGCTATGGCGGTTACGGGTCCACATTGGTTGGTTTCAATTGCTGCGGGAGTCATCACAAGATAGCTCGACATACTGTCACCGTTTCCACTAGCATCATCACCATCGTAATTGCTACTTACGATAATTGATCTGGTTTACATCACCAGTATGATCATTGAAACATTTATCTGGTGATATGTACAGTCATTGATCTGGTGATAATCACTGGTTTACAGTAGTATGATCATTGATCTGTATAATCATCGTCACTCTCATCCTCCAAGAACTGATATGATCTGTTAGTTATACGTGCCACGAGTCAAAACATCAAACCCTTGGGGCGTCGAGAGACGTGTTGTAGAAAAAAGGCAGCACCAGCTGCAGGCTCGTTGTAACTAGTATGGTTGCAACCCCTAGAAGTTGTGACATAACTTCCCTGAAGTCCGGATCCAAAGCATCTGGCTTTGCCTCAAAATATGTCAAAATACAGTACTCAGTACCATAAAACACTATGGTTCATCAGCTCATTTTTATAGTCCCACCTATTTCCCCTACAAAATCTAGCACGTTGACGTTTGAAACAAACCATTTTTTTGAGAGTCATGTGATGGTATCTTGAATGCTCCTCCAGCTGATTGAGATTTTGTAGGAGGCCATTTTTGGGTTGATATTTGGAATGACTTTTTGGATGTTTCTGGTTTTGTAGTGTTTTTGGTTTTCAGGAGTTTAAGGCCATGGTTTAGATTTTGTCGGATGTTTCTGGTTTTGTAGGGAAATGGGCTGAACCATGATTTCAGTTGATTTCATATGGTTCCATATGGTTTCAAAAATAGTTGACATGATCCCCGTGGCAATTTCCACTCTAGAACTGGTGAACCTGTGCGTAGTTTAAACAATATTTTTAATGTATTGGAATTTTAAAATTGATGTCAGGCTAGTCATTTTATTGTTGGGGGGGTGGTCTGAGCATTTTATTGGCAAGGTAAATCCTGATGATTTTTAACATGTTAAAATTCCATTCTCATTTTATTGCAAAAAAATGTTTGTTTGGAGCATTTTATTGCAGAATGGAACCAATGCTTTTCCAGGATCTTTTTATATCGATTTTATTGGGCATGTCATTTTAGATCAGCAATAGAGAAAACCTCTTGCTAGATTTGTGGCAGGTTCCTGATTCTGTAGAGGTCCGTCAAAACCATTTTTTTTTTTGGACAGCCTAAGTGCCTGCAAGGGTGTGCAAGGACAGGTTCCTGATTTTGTAGTGGGAGCATGGCTGAAACTGTAGGTTCCTCATTCTGTAGATTCTGTTTTGGGGTGTGTCAGCATTCATGTGCATAGATATTTACAAATTATATAGATTTTACAAAACTGGAAATGTGGAACAGGAGTTGCCTCTACAAAATATATCAGAATATGTTTTTGTACGTTTCAGGGTTTTCAGGTGAGAAGGGGAGACCAAGGTTCTTTCACATCATCCCTCTACAAAATGGATCTTTGTATTTTTGATGGTTTTCTTTCTTCCAAGTAGCAATTCTGCTTAAATGTTTGCTCATGTCAGGTTCCCCACTTTGTAGGGGCCAGTGGTTCTGAAAATCACAAAAGTGCACCAAAAAAAGGGGGTTGGGTGCCCTGATTTTGTAGAGAAAACCCCTTGCTAGATTTGTGGCAGGTTCCTCATTCTGTAGAGGCCTAGGGCGCCAAAAGTCAGATTTGGCTCTACAAAATGGGGACACCCAACCCCCCCAGGTCATTTTTTGGGATAATGTTTTTGTATGTTTTTGTGCATTTGAAAGTCTGAGGCCCTATGCACAAAAGTTAGACCGCTCTAAAACTCCTGCACAGCTTCACATAATGAAATGGAACCCCGATTTGACATGTATGATTCCACATTTTCTGTGGCATTGAAATTTTGGAACTGAATGGCATTGATGTTGATGTGGAGACATACATTTTCCAGCGTGCGGCCTCTACAAAATCAACAAGTGAATCAAGCTGATTTTTATACCTCAAACACTGGTTTCTCTACAAAATGCATTTTTTTCTGAGACAATTTTTAAAGGTTTTGTGAATCAATTTTTAATGCCTTTATATAGCAGATGGATTTCTATGATTTGGATTTTGTAGATTTGGAGGGGGTGACAGGTGTAAGCCCAAGTGGGGTTGCATGTTAAGATTTTGTAGATTGAAGATGTTCATGTTCAAATGACATGTTTCTGGTTTTGTAGGGCCCCCCCCCCTATGTTTTTAGATTTGTGCATACAAAATCTGAACCCCCAACCCCCAGGGCTATCAAACGCAACTATTCATTTTTCATATTTTTCCCCCTTCACTTCGCCATTTCAAAACGTGGCTACCCACTGGAAATCAAACGTGGCAATTTTTCACATCACCCAGTTGGGTCAATGATGTTCCCACTTATCCCTTATTTATAAAGGTTTTTCTCATTATGAGGAATTATCAGTTATTATGTTACTCGTTAATGATATCAGCATGAAATGGTTTTTGAATTATTATTGAGACTGGTTGGTGGTTTATTTGGAACATTTTTTAATGCCTTTCCATATATTGGGAATGTCATCATCCCAACTGACGAAGTCACTCCATGATTTTTCAGAGGGGTAGGTCAACCACCAACCAGTTATCTATATAGGTATTATAGGCATTATAACCACTATTATGATATGTCATCCCATGATTGATGATTATCCCATAACAAAATCCCATTATAGATAGGTAGGTCAACCACCAACCAGGAGATTATTTCTCAGCCACCATGTTTGATGCCGGCTATCGACCCCCAGGATCTTGCCCTCAACAAGCGACACCTTATCGGACCAGCGGAGGCCACGATGCTGAAAGATTGGATGCTGAAAGGAAGGAATGATGGTTGCTAGTTTCTTATTGATCCTGAAAACATGTTAAGTCTGTTTGAAATTGTTTGAAAACATGTGACAGCACCTTTTTTTGTTGATGGTGATATGGTGGTGGTGGTTTGCAAAATCCATGAAGGATCACTTATTTGAGGGGTGGTAAAGGTTTGCCATGCGTACCCCCGGGGTAACTATAGTAATTTACTAAAAACTTAGTGAAATCCATAGTAACATAGCTATAATTAGATCAATCGACCACAAAGCATAGTGACATCCGTGAACTTCAGCTCAGGCGGATCTATATCTTGGCAGGTTTGGCGGGTGCCTTTGGGACCATCTTCCCTGCACCGGTGGTGCCTGCGGCTGCAGCCCTGGCCATGGGTTTCATATTCCATGGTGGATCCCCAGTCGTCACCCTGGGTTAACCTATACTGAAACATTGTCAAACGTTTGACGACTGGATGATTGTTCAAACGTCTCAGCAAAAAGGGGGATCGCATAGCTTTGTAACTTGAAATCTTAAACTATTTGTTCGTTCAAATCAAGGGAACAACAGCTGCACAAAGGAGATTGATGTCCATGGATTACAAGCTGGAGGAAGCACTGTTTCTGTGAGGACAGCTTCAATGTTGGTATCAAAGCAATAATTGGATGAATCCTGAAGCGATGAAAGATGGTGATGTGTGAGTTCTAGCAGGTATCCTCCAGGGGAACACTCTGACCATCTCTGACCGAAAATGTTTCTGTCCCACCACCCGGAATAGCGGGCAACATGGCAGGAAACCGCCAGTACCAATAGCATTTAAGCTCAATTTCATATCAGCTATTCAAAGTGGGAGGGTCTCCAACGAATTGTGAACTTCACACTCTTTCTTCATAGTGGGATTCCAAGGATGCTCCTTCTTCCCATTGGGTGCTCATTATTTACCCTTTGGTCCACATTTTTTTGTGACTGACCATATCATCCTTGCATCTTCAACCCCTAGTTTTGGTTCTTCCCATTTTTGCAGATCGACACCCGCACCCCGTATACCTTTCTTTTGCTGGTGATGATATAATCTGAAAGTCATGTTGAATGACTATTATCATACCATTGTTTGAATTTGTTGAATATGCATAAATCGCAGGACACCATGTTTTTTATTTTTCCCGTAAAAAATAAAACAGGGTTCCAACCGTAAAAAACCTTTCAACCAACCCCAAGGTGCCTTTTGATCGTGATATGGCCTTGTTTCAAACTATAGGGGCACCCCAAGATCCCGTCGTGTTTGAACATCTGAAGAAACCAGGTGGTACCCTCTGGTAATTTGTTACATAGCTATTGAAGCCATGGCCATAGAAACAGTGAGTTGCCCCGTTAATAGCATAGTGATTTTCCATAGTTATGTAAACGTCTACCAGAGGATAAATCCCATTCAATCCCATTAGATCCCATTAGATCCCATTAAACCACCATAAATTCCCATGAAATCACCATTTTTCATAGGTATCTTTATCAAAAGTGGTATTGAAATCCGCGCCCCCCCGAGGTTTCGGTGATTTTGGTCTCCGAAATCGCCACGGCCGGGACGGAGCGCAGCGTTGCCGAGGAGGAGTTCATGACAGGCGGCGGACGCCCGCGGGTTTCAACCCCTGTGGGCTGTTGAATGCCTCCTGGAATTGGGGCAATTCCCATCATCGTTTTTTGTTTGTTTACCCTTTGGGCTGGACTTGATCATTCGTTTGTATGCGGCAATTATATACATTTGCACATTTGTGCGTGTGTCTTTGTGATAAGATTTTGTTTTACATCGTTTCTATGGGTTATAAGCAGTGCATTGAAATCATCATTTCTACTGATCCTATCTGTTGTGAATCTGCCATGTCAAAAATCCCAAATCATGGTGGTTGTGGTCCCACCATGGGACACAGGCAGACGGCTTCCCAAAAAGGTCTTCTTCTATTTGGTACCTGCTACTGAGCAGCAAAAGGGGATTGTGCCTGCAGACTGATGTTAATAATAGGCTTTATTATGAATCCGCTGACATTATAACTTGGGAAAGGAAATTGGGGATGTGGTTGAAATGCTGGAAATTGCACCTTTTTGTTTATAATGAATGTTAGCGGTAAATAATGTTAATGGCAGATAAACAAACATACACAATCATATAATAAGAATATCTTGACATTCATTTTGACAATTGCGTGCCCAGAAATCACTTGGTTAATCATCATCTTGCCAATTCCCATGTTCCGACGAACCTATATCATTTATAGAATGTAATACATGTTGTTACAAGGTCAAGCCAGTTTAGAAATACGCCCCAAGGCCCATGTTGGAGAACTTGGGGTTTAGATTTATATCCACGATACACTGATCATGGAATATGCCATCAGCAGATCACATTTAAATTCATGGTAGTGCAGTGATGGCAAACACGTTGCAGTCGACATTTGGAGGATCGACAATCTGGTGATGCTTTGAAGTGCGGATGTGGCTCAATATGATGAAATCATTTTTTTGAGGTTGTTTGCGACCCAATAATACTGATATTAATGATGTTCCTTATGTCGTAGATAGATAGATAGATAGATGGATAGATAGATAAATAGATAGATAGATAGATAGATAGATAGATAGATATCATGGAATATACATATACATCATAAATACATCATAAAATGTGTATGTATATATATATACACGTCACATATGAGCAGATCATGTCTAGTTCCAAGAAGCGCACCTTAAACGCACACCTTTTGATATGACCGAAGTGAAATCCAGGTCGCCGTATCTGCTTTCGTGGTGACCTATGCTGTGAATTATGCCATCACCAAGTCGCACAAGATCCCGCCGCCTCTGTATGTGCCTGGTCGATATTTCTGCACGTGACGTACGTGTGTAGCATACTAAAAACGATGATAAACTATGACAAGTCTGTAAAAGGATATGTGTGCCTGTAAGAATTCAAGATATTACACTATGAGTGTGTGTGCGTGTACACTTATAGATCATTTGATGCATATGCTGCATATGTGTAAACATGTATATACCCAAGACCCAAGTAGAAATCTGTATGATTTGTTCATTCGCTCGATTTGTCTCAGCTTATGATCGCATGGTGTTTGACCATGGAACTCAAATAGGGATGCTCTTCACATCCCAGCTAGAATGCGGTGCCCCGTAGTTGGCTAAGTTGGTTTAGGTCACCAAGTTTACTAAGTATACTAGGGCTTATGCTGATTGTATTTATTTCCTTTCCAAGAGAATCCCTCTCTATCTTTTTTGTGCACTAAAAAACGGACAACTGCCGCAAGACTGCAAAGGATGCTGGGATGTACTGGGAAACCCTACTGTACCGTCCAAGGACAGGGGCTATGACAACCTCTCAGTCTTCACGGGTGTGGGTCTGGGTGCCATCGCAGCGGTGGCAGTGGTGATTTTTCTGCTGATTGGAGCGCTGATGAAGGTGGTCCGAAAAAGCACATTGCGGTGTATTGGGTTTGGTTTACTATGGTTTACTACATGGGTCATTAAATGTCCCCATTGAACATCACCCAACCATTAGGTATATGGTCTATAATGGCTACTATAAGGTGATGTCCAATATTCCCAAAATGGGACAGTTACCAACCCCTGTACTACCCTCTGGTTATGTAACATAGCCATGGTATAGATGGCCCATTTATAGATGGTTCGGGGAACTTAAAAATGGTGATTTTCCATGGCTATGTTAAAAAGCCAGATGGTGTATGGGGGGAATCATTTCTACATGCCAAGGGATTGATCGTTGATAGTTTTTTTTTTGTTACTAACTTGTTACCTGGTGGTGGGTAAGTCTACCCCAAAGATTTGAGGCTTGGGATGCGATGAATGAACATGAAGTGAGGCTGCCCTACGGGCTACAGAAGGGCCCTGGGTCTACAGAAGAACATGAAGTTACAACCAACAAACATGGACATTTGAGACATATGGAGACATGGGAAAAAAATCAAGAAACACATAGAAAAACCATGTGAAGGGAGATGACTAGCACTGAAGTGTTTGGCTTGGCCAGGTGGGTCCAGTTGAAGACATGCACCCACCATTTGCAGCGCGAGTGGTACAGTATACACATCCGAGGTGAATTTTCCAACTACAGAATGGTCGGTTTTGGGGCCACTATAAAATCTATAAGCCTGTCTTCAGGTTGTATTTTCTCGGGGTTCTAAAAACAATAGAGCAGTTTTTTTTTCAAGATGGTTTTTCATGATGTACAGTATAAATCAGTATAATGTATACAGTTATAATCAGTTTTATAAATGATCTTCACCCATGATCCATCAATTTTGGGCTTTCCAAAGCTGGACAGCGAAACATCCATAGGAACTCCCCCAACGGGATCTCCCAACGGCTCCAGGCGATCTTTTCCTTGGTGGGTTCGCCCTTGGAACGAAGGTTGGGCACGCCAACCCGCCAGGCGTGATGGAACGATGGAACGATTGTTTTGGGATGAACTAATAAGGCTAGCAGTCTGAAAATCGGGTATACACTCTGGTTATGTCAAAATAGCTATTGAAAATTGCCATAGAAATAGTGGATTTACACATTAAAAATGGTGATTTTCCATAGCTATGTTAGTTTACCAGAGGGTACTACCTAAAGCCAGACTGGTGAACCAGAATTTTCCCTACTCAAATGCCTATTTGAAAGGTATCCACCATTTCCAGACACACACACACACATACACACTTAAGCCACAGATTTTGGGGAGGCTGGGCACCTTTCCATATGCTCTTTGCATGTGTGATTTCACTTATATTTGTTGGGATGTTCACCGCTCAATTAATCTGGCTTCTGCTGCCAAAAAGGATTGAGCACCGATGCGTCAGTGGATTTGCAAAAATCTGATTATATAGGGGAAGATGAAGGGTCCGCCTAAATGAGAGGCACACTTACAGACCTTCAACCAAGATGTGGTTTCTTTGGAAAGAAAAACATGGCTGTGGAAAGGGTATGGACAGAACCTCAAGTTATCCAAATGGACTTTGAGTTGACTGTCAGGTATGCAGGGCCAACCCCATTGCTGATACTGCCAGATTTGATGGGCATGACGAAAGTCCATGATTGGAACGCAGTCAATCAGTGGAACCCATTTACCGTAGCCTTGGGGCGTGTCTCAGAAAGCGAACTAAACCAACACGAATTGCATGTTCACCACTAAACTAGTACCACTAAAACACCACTAATTGCATAATGTTACTACCTTGAGATGTTCATTTGCCCAGACATATTATATGTCTATTAGATTCAGACTTTGCGTTGAAAGTGACTTTTTGGACCCACAGATTTGGTATACCAATATCAATTGCAAAGGGGTCCCACTACATCGCATTGTATGTATCCCCATCTCATGGTTCATGGTTTATCTCCATGACTCACTGGGATAAAACATATGATTTGTTGATCCGATGAAGCGTCAACTCCTCATATTTTTGTTGATCTTACTGTTTAGGTGTTTTTTCTAGACCATCAATTACGTATGTAAGTTTGATTAGTTGTGTTATTAACCATTTCAGGAGCATTACAATATATTAACCCGTATTGATTGGGTCAACACCAGATATATTAATGGAGTATCCAATATATTATTGATTATTTATCCATCCATAAACAAAATAAAGTGGTTATTTATTGATTAACCTAAATGATTACCATATTTTAGCTATATTACCATATTGGGTCAAAACCTACTATTAAATACTATTACCGCAATGGTTATTACCTATTGTTACGAGTAAGTAGGTTTACCATAATGGTTTGCCATTACTATTACCATTACCATAGCTACTATTACCTATTATCATTGCCATAATGGTTTGGCTACGATTACCTACATTATGGTAATGATAATACCATTGCTCTATTACTATTACCTATTGCCATAGTTACTATGACCATTACTATTACTCTTACCATAGTATCAAAATTACTATTAAAAGTTTTTAATTACAATTATATTATTATTATTACTACTACCTATTACTATTAATATAATGGATAGTTACTATTATTACCATATGTATATATAAAACCGTGGTTACCATCCATTATTACCGTATATAGCTATTATATTATTACCATTATTATCGTAGTTACTATTACTATTTCTCTTACTGTTACTATTACTATTACCACATAGTTATCTATTAATAGTTACTATTACCATATAGTTACTATTACCATATACATACCTATTACTATTAACCATTCTTACCATTGCCATAGTTAATATACGATATTTACCATAGTTACTATAACCATCCATAGATCTGAGTTACAGTAGCTATATTACTATTAATATTTTAGTTAACCATATTATTGTTACTATCAATATAGCCATCCATAGATATTATTACTATTAACCATAGTTATAGTAACCATTATTACCTATTACTATTATATAACCATTATTTCCATTATTACCATCTTATAAGCATCCATATATACCATAGTTACTATAACCATCCATAGATATTACTATTACTATAACCATATCTATAATAGGAATAGATGTACTAGTAATTATTATTACAATTACCAATCTATTATTACTATTACTATTACTATTACCCTCTGGTTATGACTATCATAGCTGTGGAAAATGACCCATAGAAATAGATGATGTAGCTATTTAAAGTGATGATTTTCCATGGCTATTTTAAATAACCAAAGGGTAGATAATTACCATATAGTTACCTATTACTATTAATCATTATTACCATTATTACCATTATTACCATTATTACCATTATTACCATAGTTACTATAAAGATATTTACCATAGTTACTTTGACCATCCATAGATCTTATTACTATTAACATCTATTAACCATAGTTATAGTAACCATTATTACCATCTTATAAGCATCCATATATTCCATAGTACTATAACCATCCATAGATATTACTATTAAACATTCTCTATAGAAATGGATGGTTATAGTAATAGTAATAGTAATTAATGGAACCATCTATACCATTATATTACTATTACTATAACCATCCATTACTACTATTACCTATAACCATAGGTTTTAGGGAGAACCATCCATTACATCCACACCGTCACGCCGTCAGATCGTGACCGCCTCCCTGGCCGGGCTCATCACTGGGGTGCCGTGGCCGTGGAAAAACCAATGGGGCGGGAGGAGTGGAGTGGGGCTTTACCGTGAAAAATGGTGGTTTTACCGTGAAAAATGGTGCTTTTATCACGAAAAATAATAAAAAATGGTGGTTTTACATGGTTTTACCATGAAAATTGGTGGCATTAAAAGTAGTGGTAGGAAATGTGGTTGTGTAATGAAGCATGGTGGTTCTTTAGCACCAAAAATTTTATGGTGGTTTCAGCAAGAACATCTGGGTTTCATGCCATCCAAATGCTACTTTTGTGAACATTGACAGCCGTGAAAAACTGATGATATTGGATGAGTCAAACTTCAAGATCCAAAGACATCTGAGGATTTTGCTGATTTATAATCAATAAAAAACCATCTATTTTGAATCTATCCAAATTTGACCCATGCGCCCCTTGCCATAGCTACTTTTCCCACTCCACCATCCCAATTCCTCCATTTCCTGGTCGCTTGGGGTACTTTTTCAATGAGTAAGTGCTTAAAGAACTCATGTGTAACTGCGGTATATCCCAGCTAGAAACGAACAATTGCAAGATACTTCTTAGCCACTTCACTGCAAAGCACTTCGACCCAAAGAACACATGGGATAGTTTCACGGATCTGGTGGGTTTTTAGTGAGCCTTTTACATGCACCAGATATATTAATCCTTAGAAAACATCTGAAAACATCGAATCAGACTGTCAGTCCGGAGTCGCATGGAACTTCCGAGGTGGCCATCTACCTCTTCCCCTTGGCGTGTGGCAGTGGAAAGGATGGCATGATGCCCACGCGGGCCCTGAGTCACGCCGATAAGATCACGGTGCTGGAACTCTTTGGTGCCCTGGCACGGAACAAGGATCGAAAAGTATGGATGACTTATATGCAACTATGGTGATTATGGATGACTATGGAAATTTTTGGTTATATGAATCATACATTATTTGGAACTATTAGTAGAACTCACGACAAATTGTGGTTAGCAATGTTTTATCGGGGTAGAATACAAACCACAATGGGCAATGGGACTATATGCAGATATTACATAGCTGCCTGGTGCAATGTATGGCCTCCAAGATAGGTGAAGTTGCAATAAATACTGTATTGTTTATGGTATATGTTTTCAACAGATGGGTGAACATAACACATGTTTGACCCATTCCCCCGTTCTACCAAAAAGATATGGGTTACCAAAATGGATGTTGGAACGTGGCAGGGCGTTTGTCATTGAAAGCAGCAGCCACAGCAGAACATTCGCAAATGGGTAGTGAATGGGTTGCATCGTCATATATCCCGGCGATATAACACAGTTGCCAATCATTGATTGAGTTGAAGCATCATCCCAGTTTGCTCTGTCAGCGCGTGGCAGGTCACTTTGCGATATCCATCGGAACACTTTTTAATAATAGTTCAAATATTCTTGGAAATCTTAGTGCGGAAGTGGTTCATCATCATCATCATCATCATCATCATCATCATCATCATCTCCGCTTGCAGTTGGCTCGTTTTTTTTGCCCCGAACGCCGGTGCCTTCCCTTTTTCTGGGCGCGTCTTCCTTCGGAGCCATGGTATCATCGGTGGCGGGTTTCCCGTTGGTGATCTCCAAAATCGAAGAGTTGATCCTGGATCTTTTGGCCCAGCAGGACCTGCAAATTTTGTGAATTTTTAGCAAACGACCTGTTTTTTTTTGAGAATGAATGGACTATTTAGCAACTTTTCTCTGCCTGCACTGGCCTTTGAGCTGTTTGGAGCCGAGGAACGATCCACAATCCAGCGTAGCATGGTATTGGTGTCATGCAGCGGTGACTCCCACTGCCCACATATCAAGCGTTAGCGTTTTGAATATCATGTTCTAAAGGTGTCGTTTCTCCTTGTCCCCTTCCTGAACATGAGGAAATTTGGCAGAAAAACCTGGTGGGATGCTGATCCCCATCAATTTGACCCCACTACCCTTCGGTAGTTCTCAAAACTTAGGATAGGACCTTTTTGGGACATGTGACATGGTCCATTGATGATTGGCCTCTTAAAGATGGTGATGTTCCAGCTGGCAAATTGTTGGTATCTCTAATCATATATCCCCATATATTTGTCTATGGCAAATATATCATAGTTGACGGGTTTGTAAACCAACCATAACCAACCTACAACTTGGGGGGGCCGGCCACATTATACCCAAGAAAAGGAAAACAATGATCCCCCACCCCAGGCAACTTTGGGCCCCATACTCTCAAAGAACTCCGATTGATCGCTGGTCTTACCTGCTTACCTCATTGCTGCTTATAAATGCAATACACACCATACAAAACCAAATGCTTTCTGTTTGTTTCAAACGTACTATACTCCCATCAATAGAGCCCAGCCATTTTCATATGGTCATTAACAATGCATCAACCAGCAACGATTTTGATCATAGATCCACATCTTCCAGACCGAATTCAAATCGTTGCGCAACCAGCGCCCTCAGTCAGTGCTGGCTTCCCCAGGCGAATTCGACGTTACTTTGCGCCAGGAGCGCCACTTTCATTGCCCCAGTTCTTCGGCGTCAGTTATCTGCTGGCGCTGGCCGCAGGACAGAATCAAAGCGGAAATCCGACGTGAAGACGTGAAAATCCATGAATTATCATAGGGGTTGAAGTCCGTAAAACACTGCAGACCATGTGAACTCATGTACATCTGTCAATTTCAACAGTCATCATCCTTGCTCTATCTTTTATATTCATATTTGTACACGCATATACATGAAATGATCACAGCAGGAAGGATCAAGGGCTAGACTTTGCACATAGCCAGCTTTCTCTTCACCAAACCGGACTTCAGTAGAGCGAGTGCTTGGAATTTGCAACCGGCAACCAGTGCGGAACGCGGCCGCGGCAAGACCATGTTGTTTTCACGTTGTCGGTCCCCAAAGTGGGGCGGTTGACGCTGGATGCATTTGGGCAGTTCAAAAAGATCAGGGACTTTCCAAACCAGCTCTGGTTGGTGGTTTGGAACATTTTTCATTTTTCTATATATTGGGAATCATCATCCCAACTGACTAATATTTTTCAGAGGGGTTGAAACCACCAACCAGAGCTATGAAGATTTTTGAGGTGCTAACCAGGATGTGACATTGAGGAAAAGGTAAAAACTAACACGGTAATTTTTTTGGAATCAGGGCTGCACTTTTCACTTGCCAGTTGGCACTAAAATTTAGCCCCCAAGGAGGAGAAGACGCAGAGGAAAAACAGATCCTGGGTTTGCTCGGATGTGGTATGCGGTGATGCTAGCAGAAACATTCCTGGGGCTGGATTGCAGGTCTTTTTCATGTTTGAGTATCTATATCATATATATATAATTATATATATACAATTATCTAGATATATCTATATGTATTTGTTTATAATAACATAATAACATATAATATATTTTAGTGATTCTGAAGCCACATTTGCCTCTGGGATGGACTTTTTCTTGGTCAACAGAGATCACAGTGTTGGTTGAATCAGGTCTGGCGCTGGCAAAGGTGGTGGCCTACTGGGCATGCGCGCATGGTGGCCTAGTCCGGGCACCCAAGGGCGACGCGAAACGGAAACCTTGGCGAAACATGGTGGGATGTGGTGGCGCCATGGATTCTTCAGCACAGTGGTGAAGCGTGAAGCATACTTTGGTGATCTTTGATGAGGTACATAGCATACTCAAAGATCACCAAAGTACGCGATGGAATCTTTGAATCATATTCCATAGCATACTCTGGTGATTCCAACCTTGGCATTTGGAATGCATATGTGTACGTGGAAACTGTGAAACATCTACTGTAGCAGAAGACTTAAACCATTCCAATCAATATGATACCATGATGGGATATCACCTACCTTTCAAACCGTTTCAAGGCTTGGATGGGAGACTTTTGCACGTTTTGATTGATACAAAAATGGGGATCTAATCAGTACAGGGTATATATAGCAACAGCAAGGTGGAACATCCCTGAAACCATTGGGATTTTATCATAGGATACACGGTTGATTTAGCAATCTCCTGCGGCAATGCTCTGCTCGCCCGCTTGGTGTCTAGTCTTGTCATTGGACGCCGATTCTTTTTGTACAGGTGGATGATGATGGCTTCACTAAGTCGTTTCGATAGTAACGTAGAGTAAACCCAAGAATAAAGCTCCAATGAGCAATGGTATAGGGATTGTCTATGGTTATGGACTTCCCGCTCTATTGATTGTTATGAGATGTGATGAGTTTGTCTCTCCAGTCACTGTTCTTGCATCCCCATGGTTTGCTTGTAAAATACTTGACTCACAGGGTGGCTTCCCCAAATTCTATTTGGGTGTGATTAACTTCACCCTTCTGTAAACGTTCACATAGACGTGGAAAACCCAACATTTGTACCCTCTGGTAATTTAACGTAGCTATTGAAAATGGCCATTTATAGTGGATTTACCCATTAAAAATGGTGATTTTCCATAGCTATGTTAGTTTACCAGAGGGTACATCATGTTCGGGGTTTTCCCATGGGTTTTCCCATGGGTTTTCCCATGGGTTTTCCCACGGGTTCGCCATGGGAGGTTTTCCACCTCACCGAGGTTGGAGGAATCTTTTACCCCTTGCTCTACTTCGGTGCCGCTTCGGAGAGATTGGGTATAGCTGGAAAAAAGCCCTAGTCCCTAGTTGGTCATGGGATGATGTTTTGATATGTGTTGTTGGGTGTTCCGCACATGGTTGGTGTATTTAAGGGATGTTTTATTGATTTTATTGTTGGGCTTACCACGTCACGTCACATATTGGATCCACTGAAACACTTGTTACATGACACACAGAGCTCCCTGTTTTTGTAACGCTTATGGATCAATAAAGAACGGCAGCCGCTTGGATGTCTCTCTTCATCTCCAGTTCCAGACGACCAAGATGGCTATGGCAAACATGTTCTGCCCAAATGGACACTGAGTAGCACTGTGTCCACTACATGGCTTAAACGAAACATATATAGTTGTAATCAGGAAAATTCCTGTAACAAAAAACAACATGTTCTAAACTTTAAGGTTATATTATGTGATATTCAATTTTTCACTCTGTGATTTCCTATACTTTTCTATTATGTTCCATTGTTATTCCATTTACCATTCGATATTATATTATGTTATAGATTAAACTACGGGGCATTGGGACGGTCCTCACCGCGCAGGTTTGACCCTCGGGGAGATTTGTGCCAAGGTCTTTCACATTGGCTCCCTGGCAGTAACGTCGCTTCTTAGAGATGGGGATGGGTCAAGTTACCTATGAAAAATGGTGATTTCCCATGACAAAATGGTGATTTCATGGGAATTTATGGTCGTTTAATGGGACTTAATGGGTCTTACCCTCTGGTAAACTAAGAGTTTGCAAACTGGAAAATCACCATTTTGAATGGGTAAATCAACGAACTTTCTATGGGTTACTGTCCATAGCTATGTAGCAGTCGTTACCAGAGGTTACCTATGAACTTACCATATGACTCTGGGGATCAACGTCCAGCATCTGCTGACTCAGGGTACCTGACTATGGGTTTAGGGTGTCAGGGTTTTGACGACCAGATGAGTGACCAAAACCCTGTGTGATTAGGTATTATAGGTGAAACACACGGTTATAGTAGCCAATAGTTTGGGGATTATCTAATCCATGAACTAGGAATTCCTCTTAACCAGTGACAGAGGCTTTTGAACACAGCTCAGATGAAGTAGGGTCTATGACCCCTTTTTTAGGTCCCAGTTTAACGTCTATACCCTCTGGATCCCTCTGGTAATTTAACATAACTATGGAAAAATCACCATTTTTAATGGGACAACTCACTATAAATGGCCATTTTCAATAGCTATTTTGACATAACCAGAGGGTAGATATCTTGGGCCGCACCAGCCTATGCCGAGACTACTTGGTGGCTGAGCCCGTGATGATCGGTGCCACCCCCGGAGCCTTACTGCCGGCGCCCATCACAGCGTTGGCCTTCCCTGTTTGCATGTTCGTTGGGAGACTCAGAGGTGATTGGGGTACCATGGCTTTCAGTTTCCACAGTTGGATTATGTTGAAATTTCGTTTCTTTTTGGGTACAATGTTGACTTTTTCGGCATTTTTGCAGGTCAATTCCTGCAAATCATACCAGAACAAAACTATATAGAAGACTAAGACCAAGATTTGAAGCTTGAAACTTCGGAGATCCGAAGGATTGGATTTTCTCAGATTTGGCGTTGATTTGACCACGACCCTCGGTGCCAACGATGTCTGAATCACTGATACTTTTCGGCTGAGTGACTCACTTACTGTCATTGAGATTTTGTATGATTTGATTTAGATAGCCCATGTTAGACATTAGGATTAACATGATTGGATATATCTTTGGTGTAGGACATGAGTGGTATATCATTGGATATAATTACCCATTACTGGTTGGTGGTTTGGAACATGACTTTTATTTTTCCATTCAGTTGGGAATGTCATCATCCCAACTGACGAAGTCACATATTTTTCAGAGGGGTAGGTATACCACCAACCAGATTACTTTGATATTTAATATTTACATAAATCCTGATTGATATTTAATATTTACATCAATAATTCCATGGATTTTTTCCATAAGTTATGTAAATTATTAATCCAGAATCCATAAGTTATGTAAATTATTATTTTGCCATGGGAGTTTTCCATAATCATTAAGTAATTCTTAACTTACCATTAAAAATAACTTAACTTACCATCGATTTTTCATATATTTTCCATAACTTACCATTACATGGATTCTCCATGGATAAATACTTCTTATTGGATATCAATAGTAATTTTGTCAGTAAATATTGATGTAGATATTAGATATCAAAGTAATCTGGCTGTAGTATACCTACCCTCTTGTAAATAAACAGTTGGACCCTGAAAATGGCCAAAATTTTTAGTGGTTTCACTAATCTTCCAAACCCCACCTGCCAGGGTCGAACTGTTAATTTACTGGAGGGTAAATTCCATTAATCACTATGAAACCTCCATGAAACCTCCATGAAACCTCCATGAAACCTCCATGAAACCTCCATGAAACTTCCATTAAACCTCTGAAAAATATGTGTATCATAGAATTGGATGATGGGAAAATTTACAGGAAAGCCCTATATTTGATGGTAAAAACCATGGTTTCCTGTAGATTTCCCCTTAAACCAATCCAGTGACTGTAGGCTGTTTCAACACCTCTTCACTGAGGTGACCGGACCCACACAGACCGTCCCTGGGCTGTCTTTTGTGCGGCGAGTTGACGACCCGAGTTCGCCATTGGTAAAAGGTGGTTCAAAAACAACGGAGGCAGTAAGGTATAGATTCAGAATGATATATATATATAATATAATGTATATATATATATATAATATAATGTATATATATAATATATATATATATATAATAATTAATAATATATAGTAATATATGATAATATATAATATATAATTGTATTCAACGGTATATCATATCCAATGCATATCATCTATAGAAGTGCCAATAAGTATCCCGAAATTCCTGGTCTCCAGGTGCCAATTCTCACAGCCATCGTCATTGCCAACGCCATCTTGGTGGGATCGGGGTTCTTGGAGAAGATGATGAGCAAAAAGCCCTGATTTCCGGCAAAAGTTGGTGAAAAACGGCTGAGAAAACCTTGGTGAATCTGCAAAAGTTGCAGGTAAACCAACGGGATGATCAGGGAGATGAGGACAATCACCAAGTAGAATTCCAGAATTCTTAATGACGTCCATTCTGTACTGAAATCCCACTGGTTGGGTTTTCCGTAGCTACCCTCAAATCACATGATCATCCACCTCGAAGCAAAAAAAATCATGTTGGTTTTCAATGGCTGCGAAGCTGCCTGTCGAAGCTGAAAATGGGCGCTGATTTGGGCTCCAAATCAGCCGGCTGGATCGATTTCACGTGGAGCCTCAATGGACCAGTTCCAAATTGGTTCCAAATTGGTTCAGAAATAAGGTTCCTACAAGCTTCAAGTATGATTTCCTAGCTCCATACATTGAAATCCATTGGATGTCAAGGCATGTCGTCCCAAACCACCCATCTCTGCTTTTCGGGCGAATCCAACGCATCCCATATCTGGATGAGTTTCTTCGTGTTGTTAAAAATGAAACATCCAAGTCTTGGGGATAGACTCTAGATCCAATTCATCTGTGCGAATTGAAAAATTACCCTCTGGTTATGACTAACTTACAGTTCGCCATGGTTACGCCATGGCCCATGATTTTTCCCAGCTAGAAACCTCCATGAACACAATGGATTTTCCATATGTTAAATAACCAGATGGTCGATTTGAATAGATTTGATCCATACCCACTTAGCGAAGAATGTCAGTCCCGCAGGAGTGTAGACCTCCCGAAGGACCAACCCGTTGAGTCCTCAGATGATTTCAGGGTGAAGAACCAAGTTCCTATGGAAAAAACAGAGAGCGTAGGTATTCAAAACCGCCTTCAAATTGAAGAAACTGATGGGAAAACAGACGTTGTTTTGTCTTTTTTCTAGCTGCTTTGCCAGAGTTTGCTTGGATGATTTGCAAACTTTGGACATGGATTTGACATTCTTTGACATGATGAAAAACCATGGTGCTGCTAGATTCACGAACTGAGGTCAGATACGAAGTGGGTGTGCTTATTGCCAAGCTAGCCCATTGTCATTATAAATAGAAAATTATGGAAATATATCACCATCTAGCCCATGGCCATTAGAAATATACCATCATATTGCGAGGAAAACATGTTAAAAACCAGACCTGGCAAACCCTATATTGCACGTTTAGTCAGTTTTTTGTGAGGTGCCAAATCCCCATTTATGTTGCTTATTAACTTCTCCATTTTTGTTGCCACATTACCAATGTTGCTTTGTTGAATTCGAAAAATTGCCTTGTTGGTGCTGTGATTCCAATTTTGTGCATTCTGTTGGTTGGTTCAATCCTCATTTTGGCTGGTTGTTCATCACCGATTTTGGTGCTGAACTCCACACTTCTGCTTCTTTTTTTCATCCGTGCTTCTTCTGGGATTCCTAACACAGTTGGAACATCGCTGATTTCGTGGTTGCAAGAACCTGCAGTTTTGATGGTTCTATAAAGCGTATCTGGATCCTAGATCCGTATGTTGTTGAAGCATCAGCATGTTTGATGTTTACAAGCCAACCGGCGTGATGGGGAATCCACACTATAGTAGTCACTGTCCCCAAAAGTAGCAGTTTATGAAATTGAGTATACGGCATACACCTGGATGAGTGCTGTTTGAAGTCCGCCATTGACAAGCCGAACATAAGCTTTACTGTCCAATGGAGAAAAGCAATAGCCCCAATTTTTGGTGACGTCCACATTTTGGTTGCTTAAAATATGTTAAATTAAAATAAATTAAATGCCAATGTTTGAGGTAAATCCTCATGTTCGATGGTTGCCAATCATGGTGACTATGCCAGCTACGATTCATGGGATCCAAGTGATCCAAATTTCGCAGTTTGACCCAGAAAAAAACAGCTGATCCAGGAAAGTCGTCGGCCCAACTCACGTCAGGGATGATGGGGAAGTGGTAGGGATATGTAGATGATTTTCCCAAGATTTCTCCAAAAAAAACCTGGTTCGATTTCAACATATATGATCTGGTTGGTGGTTTGGAACATGAATTTTATTTTTCCATTCAGTTGGGAATGTCATCATCCCAACTGACGATTCGTCATATTTTTCAGAGGGATAGGTCAACCACCAACCAGTTATCTATATAGATATTATAGATATTATAACTACTATTATGATATAATCCCATTATAGATATATTATCCCATTATAATCCCATTAATATATTATTAACCATCATTAACCATCAGTGATGTATTGTTTTTTTTACAGATATCAATTGGAGAATGTCCCCATTTCGCGATGAAGTTTTCAGGTTGGGAGATCTTGAGATCTGACGCTGAGCATGCGCGGCACATTCGAGACCAGGAGTGGCGGGAACGGGAAGGTGCCATGGCGGGGAAGGGTGAAAAATGGTATTTTTGTCACTGAAACTGTAGCCTGTAGCTAAATCATATCAAAATATGTTAACGTACTATTTTTTGCGAGTGCGGAAATTACAGCTGCCTAGCCAAAGAATCAGCTTTTTGCAAACTAATTAGATATTAGTTTGTCTCAGTAATATTGAACCTTGGCTGGAGATTGAAGAACTGGTGGGTGGATTCGTAGTAGGATTGATAGAGGGGATACTACTTCGGGGTAGATAGGGGAGGTGAAACAGTGTCGTTGTTGTGAATATGAATTCTGTCTTACCCCTCATGAAAATGGAAACCGAACGCATGATGTCAAAGATAAGCCATATTGGATACTGATTCCAGTTGGCAATGGCAACTGATATTTTGCCAGAACATATATTTGTAATCCTACTTGGTTTTTATCCTTTGGTTATTGGTGTAAAATAAACATACACCTAGCTATGACGATGATCAAAATGGTGATGTGGTGGTGGTGATGATGATGATGATGATAGTATGATTATGATGATGATACTTTGATGATTATGCTTTGATGATGAGGAGGACAATTATGATGACCACTATAATGATCACTATGATGATGATTATGATGACAATTATGATGACTTCAAATCTTTGGGATGAATTGAAGTGTTGGGTGGAATCATCTCAAAGACTATATTTCTGTCAGGTGCGTTACTACTCTTTACTCAGATTGGGAGAATGATGAATGGCATTTCCAATACATGTTTGGACACTCAAGTCATCCACTATCATGAAAAGCTATACTATTGTTATCTATTGTTGATCTGGGGCTATCAGGTAGCCTACAGAGTCTACAACTTCAGTTGTTGGTCGTCATTTTTGGGCATCCTAAGGCCTACGCTTTCTCCCCGTGGAAAGAATGTCTGAAAGACCAAGCAGTTGCAAACTTCAACATACAACCCCAATCTGGAAAATCATCTGCCCTCCCAAGGTTCCAAGATTTCGTCATCTTTTCATGGTTTCATTTTTTATATTTTATGAAATTCATGTCATGAGCGTGTTGCCGACAGTTGCCCAGTAGCAGGACCCAATTGAAGAGCATCTCATTCAGAATCACGTCAGCACCTTGCATCGAAGAGGGTGCCTTGGCTGCTACAGCTGCGTGGGCTAAATCATGGTGAGTCATTCCCAGGATTTGGGGGGAATCTCACAGTGGTTTTGGGACAATACCCTCTGGTTATTTAACATAGCCATGGAAAATGGCCCATTTATAGATGGTTTACCTATTAAAAATGGTGATTTTCCAGGGCTATGTGAAATAACCAGATGGTACCCTCTGCTTATTGAACGGTTTGCGAACTGGAAACTGATTTGTTTGTTATTCGGTAGATCAGGTAGATCGTAACGTTTAATCATCTTTAAATGAACCAGAATGAACCATTTGCCATCGCTATGCTAAATAACCACAGGATAATTGTTATTGCAGGATTAGCATGAGTCTTCTGTTTGATCAGTTTGTTAGTCGGATAGTTGTTAATGAAGACATTGTCAACATTTTTTTTTGTAAACCATCCTCCCAACTAACATAGACCCTGCTAGTTTCGGGGATTGGAAGATTAGTATCAGATCCCAGCATATTTCGTCAGATCGCCTATCTGTGTTTCTCCAAACATCTCCAAACCCCATCTTTATTGGTCAAATCTACATTCATACGGTCAAACTCCATTGAATTTCCCCAGCGTTTTGCTGAAATTGCTGAACCAAAGTCCTAAAAATCCATCAATTTCCTAAAATTCCATGAAAATCCATTAGGTATGTCATTAAATTCCATAGTTATAATGAATTATAAACATTCCAGCAAATGTCTATCAGATTTCTATAAAAACACACCAATGTTCCATGAATTTCACCTGTTTTTTGGTTTTTGGTCAAACTCCCCAGCGGATTTTCCCGCCAGGAAGCCGAACGCGAACCAAGCAGATGCCTTGGTGCGGAGCTCGAGAATGGTCCGCTTTTTGTAACTGGCTTTATGCGTAAGGCATTGAGATACATGATATAACAATCATATATATATAATATATATAATAATATATATATATACACCTTGTATATATTATACAATATTATAATGCTCAATAAATATTGATAATACATATATATATATATACATGATATAATGAAGTATCATATCGTATTATGCGAGAAGTAGATACAACATCAGATGCTTTTATGCTCAGTATACTGCACTATGTTATGATATGATATGAAGTGATTTCTCGACCGCTAGTGCGAGCTACACTGCGGTTTCGAATAACTACTATGATATGAAGTGAGGTATGTACGTATACATGATATGATGGTGTATATACACATATTCTATATACATAGACCCTCAACTGACCCATAAAGATTGGCAAACGTGGTAAATACCATCATTGGGCATTTACAGAGGGGTCTGGGTATAGTTAGTTTGATGATCCCCGACGGAGGAATCCTTGCTGAAGCGTATGTGGCCAGAAGAACCCGAGGTGCGACGGAACCGATGGAACGGATGGGGATTCCGGGTTGAATCAAAGAGGGGCCGGGGCATTTCTAGTTGACTTATAGGTAGAAGTTGGTTTACAACCTTGGTGAACTGGGCTCGATTTTCTTTTGAATCATGAGATATCAGTTGTAATGCAGGAATGGGTTTAGAGATGATCAGCTATCTCCCAACTCATAGCTTCACCCTGAGAACTGCCAGAATCTACCCCAAAGATGGAGGATGTATCATGCAACGTGGAATGAACCCAGCCAAGAAACCAACCTGGATCTTGCCCTGCAAAATATAGATTGAATCAGAAAGCATAGGAAGATAGTTGTATCAAAAGTGTCTTGAACAAATGGTTAAAACCACTCGTTTTCGCCAAGATAGTAACGATTGCCATTCTGCTGGTGAAAGGATGACGCAGCTGAAGGGATGATCACAGATGTTCAGCATAGATTCCATGGGCCAATTACATTTCTACCATTTTTATGGGCGGGATTCGAACCATCATATGGCTGGTTTATTATTGCTTCACTAACATTATATAATTTCATATAATTTCCTGCTGGTCTTCTAAAGTTATATAGATCATTCTTTCATTGGAATCTTCTGTGGCATCCTTGTCTTAACACATTGCCATGACTAGCACCCTCCAGTTATCAAACCAGGCCTGCTGGAAACTCCCGCAACCATATTTCAATGATTGTCCAAGCTAGAAATCTCCATTTATCTGGCATTTCCCATGAAGACCTCCATTAATCTAGGGGTTTTCCCACGAGTTTCCCTATGATTTTCCCATCTCTCGCGGGGACTTCCCGCAATCTCCACGTCAATTGACGCCATGGCCGTGGCAGGTGGCGCAGTTCATGGAGTTCGTCTTCGCAGAGTTTCGGTGCCGAACCCAGGGACCGCCTGGGAGCTGAATGGTGCTATAGTATAAACCATTCCCCCATATTCCCCCAAAAATGGGTGCTGTTCATGATTGTTTTACCCACATTAAGGGCAATACTCACCAATGATATATATATATACATTAATAAGTATCAATTACTTGATAATACAAACATCATACACCAAGAATACACCAAGAATCTTGCCAATAATGCACCAATAAGTATACAGTATATATCAAGAATACATCAATTGTAGTTTACTACACAATCATCTTTTTAGTGATTATTGATACTGATGGTATAGGATGATAAGGGGAATCATCCTTAGGATCCATCACAGCTGGATATACCAATATACCCTCTGAAAATCAACCATGTTCCCAGCTAGAAACCTCTGGTTTGGGGGATTTTCCAGCTTGGGAAAATCTCATTAAATCCCATTCTATTCGCCTGATGTGTCCATTAAAGCACCAGTGTCGTTGGTCAAATCTACAACAGGATTATCTTAGAAATATCTGGTTGGTGGTTTGGATTTATTTTTCCATATACAACCAGATATACTCAACAAAATGGTGAGGTCAATTCCCATGCTCTGGCGCTTTCTGGACATCTCCAAAAAGTCAGGTGCGATGGGATGCACTGAAGGAATTTTTGGCGGTTTTGAAGATTCGGGGCGACTTTTGCCCGCCAGGTAAGATGATGACATTCGTGTTTTTTTTGGACATGAATTTGAAGATTGGGGTATACCCCAGGCATGACTCAATGACATGTGCAATACCCCAGAATCTTGTAAGAAATTGATCTCCAAGGCAAGTTTTGAAAAAACCGTTCTCAAAGTTTCAAGATTCTGGGGGTATTTCCATGATTTCCAATGGATATTCCATGATACTTCCATTATATGCCATTTCTGGGTGTATTACATAACCTCAAACACGGTGCTTGTGTTGACCCCCAACTGTCTACACGTCCCAGCTCGATCGGCAGAGCGCCACGACCTGGCCCCCTGAAAGGGGACTCAGGGATTGGTCCAAAAACAGCCCGGAGAGCGTGGTTTGAGCCACAGATTCACTGGGAAAATGGGATAATGATGGTTAATAATGGTTAATAATCACTGGTTGGTGGTGACTGGAACCATGGAATGGATTATGACTTTCCAGAAACAGTTGGGAATGGAATGTCATCATCCCAACTGACACGAAGTCCATCATTTTTCAGAGGGGTAGGTCAACCACCAACCAGCTGTATCTTGTCTCTTTACCAGGTCTCGACGATGGCTGGATGCTCAGAGACATGTCTCTTGAGACATGCGCCCATTTTGGCGCCAACATCTTCCGATTATAGCCAGTTGAAGGGAAGACCCGCTCCATTGACAAATTCAGGCGCTTGATTTCCCTTTCCTCCGGTGATCATACTGTGCGAAGCTAGATTTTGTGTTTTCGGTCATGTTGCAGCCGGCCGAGGACGACATCTTTCGTTCCTATATTTGATGAAACTTGCTGAGTGAATTTGCAACATTCTATAGATTGTTTTTGAAACCATCAAGCAACAGGCAAGGCATGTCAAGTTCATGTCAACACCCAATGATTGTTGTGAAACCACGTGATGTCACATCTTGGGGTGTAGTTTGACCGAAGACCCACAGTCATCGAGTCCTTGGAAGGCAACAGACATGACCTGTTTCGCCGTAGATGATCCTCTGGGATGAACCCCTTGTTCCTCTTGTTGCGTTTGAGATCATTTATAGATCATTTATAGATCATTTATAGATCATTTATAGATCATTTATAGATCATTTATAGATCATTTAGTTTCAGAAATCTTTGCTGGCTTACAACTTGATCCATGGTCGCTCTTTTTTTTGTGCTTTGATCAACTCTCCAGATCCATGTGGTGATCTCCCTGTAGGGGGGACGTGTTTGATGACAACAAGATCCGCTGTTAGACTAAGGTTCATTGTGGAAGCCAGTCATCATTCTATATGAGATATTTACATATAATTAATTATATTTAATTATAATATAATATATATATATATACATATTGATATATACATAATATTGTATAATTCCCAGCACCATTGGACCATGAACATGATGTTCATGTCTTGTTTCAAGTCTGGCACATCCAGCTTGGAGCATCCCAGGGCTCGCAACTACCAACTCTGGGTCCCCGGATGTCTGGGATACAGACCAGTCCCTGGGATGTACCAAATCTGCCCTGGAGCTTCTAATAGGAAAATCCAACGAAACAGAGGTTCAATGGATTGGTTTTTACCATGAAATATGGGGTTTTCCTGAAACCAATCCATTGAGAGGTTCATTCACACCGTATTTCTATGGTGATCTCCTAAGCAGATCGGCTGCCGTGGCTGCCCCGAGGTTACATCACGCAGGAGGAGTTCTGCAGCGCCATGCGGCGGATGTTTTCGCGCACGGGGCGACAACCCTTGGAGGTTCGAGCGGCAGCACGGCCGGAAACCTGACCTGGCAATCGTAAAGCTACCATTTATAGATGATGCCAGGATGATGGTCAGGAGGTTTTAATGTTTTATAGATGATGTTTTATAGATGGACTAAATGGAGGTTTTATAGATGATGTTCCGGCGATCGAAACCTCCATTGATTTCGTGGGACTTTCCCATGAAAAGACACCTCCACTGAGTTCGATTTTTTTTCCCAGCGATCGAAACCTAGCCATGTAGTTCGGGGATTTGTTCATTGCCATGTTTGATTGCTGTAGTCAAGTCATGTTACATCCGTTTGTATAGATTCTCTGTTATGATCTTATCAAGAAAGCACATGAATTGACATGGATTCCTGATGACCATGTTTTGATTCCCAGAGGGTAGACTTTGGTGAGAGTTGAAGAGTGGGGGTTCTGTTGATGGGACACAGCGATGGGCGTGGGGAACATGGGGAGTTGGTACAACAGCCAGGCTCACATGTCAGAAGTGTTTGACCTGTTGGACGTCCAGAGTCAGAACAGGATCAGGCAGGGCGGGACGTCTGATTCCCCATGTCTAGCTGCCCAAGATTATCCAAGATCTGTATGACATATATTTCCGTACAGGATTATGGTTGATTATGGACCAATTCTGGAGGATAAAATATATTAAAATATATTAAAATATGGTCCATCTGTCCATCAATGATGTTTTCTTTAAATCAGGTGGTGGTAGTTTGGCGACGGGGGCCCTGAGGCATCATTGAGTCAGACTAGCTTTGGATGGGGGAAATGAGGAGCGCAACCAATGTGACGGAAAGAATAGTAATCCGCAGCCAACTCTTGGTGCTGACACCACATCAACGTTTTTGGGCGTAGCAACAAATCTACTGGTGGCCTGAATCTTGCATGGAGGGCTATTTTTGGGGTAATTTGTTTGTGTTTTCTTTCGTTTTTTTGTTTTCAAGCCTGGCTTTGTACTTTTTGTGACTTTTGTGATCTATCTATCTATCTATCTAACCTAACCTAACCTAACCTAACCTAACCTAATCCTATCTTATCTTATCTATCTAATCTATCTCATCTATCTAGACTATCTATCTAATCTAATCCAATCTGATCTCATCTAATCTAAATCAAATCAAATCTAATCTAATCTATCAATCTATCTATCTACCTATCGATCAAATCTTTCAAATGAATCTATCTATCTATCGATCTATCTATCTATCTTTCTATACACACCTTCTATCCCTCCATGTACCTTAATCCAACCCTCAACAGACTTTAAAAAAAGCCTAAACCAAACCAACCCTAAAAAAGCCTAAACCAACCCTAAATAACCCTAAATAAACCCTAAACATCCCTAAACCAACTTTAGATAAACCCTAAACCAACCCTAAATGAACCCGAAACCAATCCTAAATGACCCTAAACCAACCCTAAACCAACTCTAAATAAACCCTAAACCAACCAACACTATGATAGCATCCAATGCCACTATTGAGACCCAACACGGTTGTGCTTCAACAATCGATGAACAATGCAAGTGGCAAAGTTTAACTCCAAAATTCAGCAAAGTCCAGGTTTTTGCTCCAAAATGTAGCAAATAGCAAGGAAAAGTGCCCCAGACTCAAAACACAAAACATCATACATTTGTTTAACAAAAGAAAACCTGCACCCATTCTGCATGGTGAAGTGTGAGAATCTGACAGGACGTTCTTTCTCAATGCCAGATTCTTGAAATTTCTTCCGTCAGAGTTTTTTTCTTTCTCCATACCAACAAACAGTATCCCGAAACAGTTCGAAGCTGAAGTCCTCGCATTTTGTTCGTTGAGATATCTGGATCAATTCAAACGACCGAAGCCTGTTCTCCCGATTCGTTAAGGCTGTCAGATCTCCTGGAGGATGACATCGTGGGTTCAGGCGACCGAACGAGCGAGAAGTCGAGAAGTCTGGTGGCACGACCGTGGCGCTTAGATGTACTTAGTATAGTTGGTTTGCAACTTGACTATAGTATAGTTGCTATAGCTGGTTAGTATAGTTGGTTTATTTTAACTTCTTGATGATGATGATTATGATGATGATGATGATGATGATTATGATGCTGATGATGATATATATATAACTGGGGTTTATGGTGGATTACTCACTTAGATGAAGTTGCAAAGGCAACTCATAGCTAGCTAAGCAGCGCCGCTGCTAAGCCTCTGGTGGTTGATGATTATAGAATTATAAGCCAGCACACTATCCAATATATATATATATATATACGTCATTTTCTGGAAAACATGATTGACGTTTTGAACACTGCTCAATTTCTGGTGGAACATTAGCAAATGAAACCATAGACAAATCCAACTTTGAAGATCCACATTGGTGATGAATCTAAGCACTACCCTCTGGTTATGACTAACAGTTCGCCATGGAGAATGGCCCATAGAAATAGATGGTTTACCGTTCTTAATAGCATGGCGGATCTGTCCATGGCTATGTTAGTCACAACCAGAGGGTAATCTAGTACCAAAAATGCCTGGTGGCCTCCAAGATCCAGCAGCTCTTGACGTTTAGCACTGCTGGTTTTTCCAAGGGTCAAGATCCAGCATGGTCCCTAATCCGAGACTCAATCATTATATATAGATTATAGATCCATGATCATTCATCATTATCACCATTGAGTATAAGTTACGTTATCATCATTTATCATAACGTTTGCATGTTTTTATTAAATTTATCCCAATGCCAATATCCCATTGATGTTGTTAACCGTCACAACTATCCCATTTATGACCATTTATGTCCATTCCTTGGGATCATGAGCAGTTATTATGACCATTCACACGTCTGAACTAACAAATAACTGGTCACAATCCCAAATAATGGTCCTAATTTGCGTCATGATCTTTGAGTCATGCTCAAGTAATGGTTATTATTATCATACTTACTATTGTATCATCATGATCATTCATCATGAGGATCAAGGACACGTTATCCCAACATAAAAAAAAACATGTGTTTCTCTCCCGTCGACCAGGTCGCGGCCGCAAGGCGCTACTGAAGCGTTTGCGGCGCTTCTTTGAGGAGCTCACCAGCTGCCGAAGTGAGGAGATGAAGGCGGAGCCAGCCAACAGTGGAGAAATCCTCGGAAGCTCCATGGAAATGTTCCGATTTGAAGTGCTGTTGCCATGGAGCTGGGTCATGTTTCTGGTGATCACCTGGATTTTATGGCCTAAAAGTGCTGGGTAATTTCACCTGAAATGGCGTCCAGTTCAACATCCAACTGGTGGACATGGGAATTTCAGGGATGATGTGAAAGCCGTGGAAAGATGGTGGATTTTTTCTGAAGAATTCAGCAAAACTGGGGTGAAAACACTGATGGTTAATACGGTAAATGATGGTCAATATGTGGTTAATGATGATGGTTAATGTATGGTTAATGATGGTTAATGAACCAAGAAAGGGCTTAAAAAGGCTTGGAGGAGTGATTTGGTGTTCTGTTTCGTCATCCACTCGCCACATGGTGATATTTGATCATAGAAAGCTGAGCAGCTGAGCATGCGACGGAGGTGCAAGGCCAAAACATGGAGCCGTGGTACCGCTAGGCAAACATCGATTCCATGCCGATTTCCTTTGGTGATGTACCCATTTTGTTTTTTGTGCGAGCCCTTGTGGTCCTATCGAGTTACTTGTGGTCCTTGTGGTCAAATCCTCATTTCTGGGGACCGAGTTTTCCCACAACGCTAGCTAGACATAGCTAGACCATCCATTTGTCCATTCAACCTGAGTTATTTTGTCCTTGAAATCCTTCATTTTTTCCATTGCATTCATTTTATCCATACCCTCCGGTAAACATACTAACAGTTAGCTATTGAAAATTGCCCATTTAGAAATCGTTGATTTACCCATGAATAGGACGTTGAAGGCCGAGGGATCCCCAAGATCCGGATCTTCCGAAGCCAGGCCTTGATGAACCTTTACAGATCGTTGGGGCGTCCAAGACCTTGGGAATCCTTGGGACATGGGAAGGGGTTGACTGGCGTACCCTCTGGTAATGACTAACGTAGCTATTGAAAATGGCCATAGAAATAGTGGATTTGCCCATTAAAAATGGTGATTTTCCATAGCAAACTGTAAACGTTTACCAGAGGGTATTTCAATGTGAATTTCAGGATCCAACAGATGGAAATACTGTACCAGGTACCGTATTTCTGGCCATATGAATTGTGGGGATATCCCCTGAAATTTAGGCCTGAAAAATAGGCCTTATATATGGTAGGTACCTCCAATTTAGGTTCCTGAAATGGCCATTGATTATTGTTTCATTAACCAGCTATTTTAGGGTACCTTAGGTGCCAGGGTTTTGACTCATAGCCACAGGCAGCTGGAAACAAAGCACCGGGGGTTGATTGGTTTCATGATGTGTTGCATTGGTTTCAAGATGTTGCTTGTTTGAAGAATTCGGGCTAAAACCACCCAATTCCACTGGAATGTCATCATGTTTCCCATTGAACATTTTTTTTTGGGCATGAAGGTATACCCCATTTTTAGAAACTCCGTTTACAGTCATTATTGTTCTTTGAGTTGATGATTGGCTGTATATGGCAGTCTATTTTCTCTTCAGCTGTTAGGTTTCATAACGGAGCTCCGGTGCCGACAGGCCCTCTGATGCTTTCAAGATGAGTGCCACTGGCAAGGTTGGGGCGCCGACCGAAGTACGAATCAAATTGATCACGCGTATAACAACCTCAATGCCACAAATGATCATAGTGTCTTGATGTTTCTTTTTGATGAGACATGAATCCAGAACGCAGTGAATCACCCACAAACACATTCTCATGTTATTTTTCATCCCAGTGATATGGGATTTCTCGATTTCTCATATTTCTCTGTCATCTTGTAACCCACTTATATATTGAAGTTTCCTGAAATGGGGGTACCCCTAAATCACATTTTTTTACACATGGAACATGAACAATCCAGCGATTTTTAGGGGTACCCCAACGGCGAAAAACCTCCCGCAACGCGGCGCCGCGTTCCACCCGGCACAACGCAGGTGTCGCGGGCCTCATTCCTGGAAGGCTTGCAGCGTCTGCGCTACGATCAGCTCCTTAGATGGCGACGATCCGTGGATCAAATGGGGAAATTGTTGGGGTTTATGGCAAGTTTATGGTGATTATAACACATGTTATAACCTCATCTAACTATGGTTATAATATGTTACATAAACGGTTTATGTGATTATTATAACATAGTTAGATGAGGTTTGAACCCTATATCTAGTTTTGTTTGTTGTTGAGAAACCCCATTAACTAATTCGATCTATCATGAACCCTAGTTGTTGGAGTTATAAAAGAACTTAGCGAACTATGGGGCGTCACCACTCGTAGGTGTTGGTTGAAAAGAATAATGCTCCAAACATGGAGGATTCTAGTCATTTAAGCCCGCAAAATGTGGATAAACATTGGATTTTGATTGATTTATCATGAAACATATTGACATATGGACATCGACAAATCAATATAAATAATGGTTTCATTTGGGGAATTGAAGAGTAGACATGGGGTATAAAACCAAAAACGACAGGAACATATGATTAGAATGGGATATACTGATATACAGTCAACAACTTGATATTTGGGTGCATTTGAATATGCGGGGTTCCCCAACTTCTCCCAATCTTATAGCCATTCCACAATGACCATGATGCTTAACCATTGGATTTGGCATGTGAAACTTGAGCAGAAAAAAAAGGTAGAAGTATCCCAAAAAGAGTATTGGAACTCATGTTTGTTGCTCATAGTCTCAGATGACGTCAAGTACTGGAATTATACGAGAAAGGGTACTGATAGTATCGGTGTATGTATATATATATATATACACTTAGCCTTACCTGCAACATTTTCCCATTCCTGCGGAGATTTTCAGGTGGCATTTGGACGACCTCTTCTCCAGGACGGATCACACTGCAGGGCGGGTTTGAAGAGACCCTCGAGTTGTGTATGGAAAATGAGGTTTGAGTTTGAACCCATTGGAATTGGGGGTTAATGTGACTTTTAGACCAAACCATTTTGCAAAGTTTGCTTTTAAAGTTGATTAATGTGAAAATTATGTGAAAACTCAACAGTAAAAGGATCTTTTATAGTTGGTGGTACATCCCACATGCATCCATGTACTAAAGCATGTGTGGCATTGTTTTCTTCAATGTGATTGCAGGTGCCACTGTTGCCCAACAGTGCCACAGACTGATTACAAGTATGTTCATTATGATGAATCTGAATGACCATAAACATAATATGATTATAACATGTTTTGACCATGAACCACATATGCATCATATATTTTAAACTTGGGTCTATATCCCATTCCTATACCCATGTTTTCCCTATGATATTCTGTTATGTTCCTATGAAAAATCCCATGGATTTCAGCGGCTTGCCGTTCTGCGGCAACGGCTGAGAAAAACAGCGGCGCTTCAGGATTGATCGCGATGGTTCGGGGGATATCACCATCGAAGACTTTTTGGGCTTTCTGAAGGAGGCGATGACAGCAGGTGACCAGGGTGGTTTTATGATAATGTTGTATGATATGATATGGTTCTAATTTAAAACATTGGTAATATTATATATATATATGTTATATGATGGCCTTATATGTTTTTCGAAATCATGAACATTAGTATAAGTCCATTATAGTGTATATATATATATATATACATTCTTACATGATATACACACATACATATATATATATACATGTATGATTCTGTCTGATCATGACATGCTGGGGTGTACTTAGTTTATGTGAGTGATTAAACATGTGTGTTGATCGTGTATATATATATACATATGCCATTACATGATGGTGTTATCATGCCATCAGCAATATTTTTCTTTTCGGCGGTATGACGCTCAGCTGCTCGCTACAGAACGTAAAATCTTGCACATGGGAAAGCTGAAAGACCATGGGTTATACAACCTTTGAATGGAATATTATGATTGTATATATTAATATTAATGGTAGTATAGTATTCATCATAGTATAATAACCATCATAGTATCACGGTAAGTATATGCTGGTATCAATCAATATTTGCCGGGGGATACTATGATGGTATTGATGGGATATTCATGATCAATCACAAATCCCTGGGTGAATCTGACAATGGAATATACTCCAAGTTATGGCAATTTAAGAGTGACAATTACCCCCTGGTAAATTAACATAGACCTTGAAAATCACCAGTTTTGAATGGAAACTAATCTTCCAACCCCGACACCTGGCAGGGTCGAACTGTTAATTTACCAGAGGGTATCTCTGAACCAAAAGGGAGTTGGGCTACCCAATCAATCAATTTTCCGAGATATTCCGAGATGCCCTTGGGGATACACCAGCATCGTCACGAAGACTGTCACAATCTTTTGTTTTTTGAGGTGCCTCCCAGTTATTTAAACCGTTGGTTTACAAATCATAGTATCTAGTTCAATATATTAATATCTATCATAAATCCGAGTGGAGTTATAATAAACAAACTGATATATCTATGATATATCATGATCTATTTGCCATAAACATCCGTAAAGATCCATAAAGATCCATAAACCCTAGTGAAATTGGAGTTTTCAACCAGCCAACCGCCACGCTCTGCACCCCCGGTAAAAGAAGCCGCAGGCGGGTCCGGGTGGCCGTTACGCCAAGCCGGTGGTCGCGCAGACTATGCCTGACCTGTGGCATCCTGGAGTTCGTAGAGAGCGGTTTTTGTGTTCGTGGATGTTCACCCCCTCAATGAACATATGAAGTGGTATCTATATGATTTTTCTTGTTTTTTTACATCATAGATAGCGGCCCCCATATAAATTTGCTAGAATTGTGTGTTTAATATGATGTAAAACTGTATATTTATATGAATTATGAAAAATATGAGTGTGGTATCACAGTAAAAATAGCCACCTCATTGGTTGACACCTCCATTTTTTCCAATGATTGGATTGGTGGGCGAAATCCATCCTACAATTTATTGTGCAAATGTTTGACATCATTGCCAACAGCAGAACTGTTCTTATTCATGGATGCTCAGGCCCCCAAAATATGGGGCCATGTTCTAGGTGTATAAACTCACAAATTTGGGGGATGGGTCATTTCGGAATTTTTTAGGCCATGTTTGGATTCATGGTGCCGTGATGGGAATCATGACTTTCATGGAGATCTCGGCTGGCGCCATGGTTAAACGGCTGGTAAACGTTAACAGTTTGCGAACTGGAAAATCACCATTTTTTAATGGGAAAACTCACTGTTTCTATGGCAATTTTCAATAGCTATGTTAGTTTACCAGAGGGTATAGCCGCTGGATGATGGTGGTGTTTGCGTGTTTCTTTTTGATAACAGTGCTGTCATGTGCTGTCACTTCTGTCGTTTTATCGACCATATTTTCTTGTTTGTCACTAATTATGCACATTATATAGTGTTAACCTTCATATCGGCATGAACATTCTGATGAAGGTAAGCATTCTGATAAACATTCTCGTAGAGTTTTGGCTGATTGCAAGAGAACCGATGCCAACCCACTGAGAAATCCTGGTTGCAATCTTATGTAAATCCCACTAGTACCATCGATGTATACTGTACGTTGAAGATAAACATTCACACATCGTTTCTTTCTTATATCCACTTGTTTTTGTTTAATCATTGTTTTAATTGATGAACTCATTTTTTTTACCTTCTGGCAATTTAACATGCAGCTATGGAAACTGACCATGTTCAACCAAATGGTACTGTAAATCAATGTAAATCATAATAACTCATCTACATTTTCATGATTTTTCAAGGGCCATGGCTTCCATGGCAAACTCTTAACCAGAGACTTCCTAGGCGCCGGTTGAACCACAGTTCCATCGATGGCTCCGCGAAGTTGTCGCAGCTCAACGACTGGTTCAGCGAAGACAGGCCCCTTCTTCGGTCAAAATAAAACCGCGCGGAGGTGGTGGTGGCAGGGTACCCTCTGGTAATGACAACATAGCTATTGAAAATGGCCATAGAAATAGTGGATTTACCCATTGAAAATGGTGATTTTCCATAGTTATGTTAGTTTACCAGAGGGTAGTTCCAGAGGTCACCCGGAGATTTTTGCGGGAAAATCTTGGATTTCACAAGAAAATTATTTGAACTCAGTGATAAGAATGAGAGCTCACCATGAACAAACATCGGGATGTAGCCATTAAAACATTTGGATGTCACTGATGAACTTTATCATGGAAACTTTAGGGAATTTATGGACATTTGCCGATCTTTGGGTGGAGATGTATCGCTTTTTGGGAAAGCCTGTGTTGCAATCCTTTACTATTTTACTGATGCCTGCATGTTTGAAGGTCACCAATTGTAAAACAATTATACAACCCAATTCACCAACCAACACTCTGGAAACATGTTAATTCCACTTGAATTCGGAGTGTTCAATTCTGAGGAAGGATTTCTTTAGCACATACAATCTATATATGAGAATATCGATACATCAGGATTGAACAATTACGAGATGAAACAAATAGAACATGATACAATATGATACATCTATATACAAAATATAATATAATATAAATATATTATAATATAATATAACATAACATAATATGATATAATATAATGTAATATAACATCATATAGTTTAATATAATATGATATGATATAATATGATATGATATGATATGATATGAGATATTATAATATAATTTTAATATAATATATAATATATAATATGTTTTGATACAATGTGATATGATATAATATGATATGATATAATATTATATCATATCATATCATATCATATTGTAGTATATATTATATCATATTATATTATATTATAGTATAGTATATATTATATCATATCATATTATATTACATTATATGATATGATATGATTTGATATTATATGATATGATTTGATATGATTTGATTTGATATGATATGATATGATATGATATGAAATGATTTGATATGAAATGACATGATATGTTTTGATTTGATTTGATATGATATGATATGATTTGATATGATATGATTTGATATTATATGATTTGATTTGATATGATATGATTTGATATGATATGATTTGATATGATATGATATGGAGGTTTCCTAAGTCTTTGTGGGTACCCCTTGCATCATCCAGTCGCTTCTTGACCAGTCTCCGACCAGTCGTCCACAGGTCAGCGCAGCGAGAACGGCAGAAGAGCGCTCGTGGGAGAACCTGGCTGACTGGTGATTTAAAAATGGAAATTTATGGTGGTTTCATGGGAAATAATGGTGGTTTCATGGGAAATAATGGTGGTTTAATGGGAAATAATGGTGGTTTAATGGGAAAAAATGGTGATTTAATGGGAAAAAATGGTGGTTTAATGGGAAATAATGGTGGTTTAAGGGTTTTATGTATGGAAATTCTGGTGGTTTAATGGCATCTAATGGGTTTTAAAGGTACCCTCCGGTGTCCAAAAAAACATGACTTGCTGCATCTTGCTGGAAAATATATGAACATATTGGAAAACCAACCGTTTATATCCATTTATAATATAGATGATTTTCACAGCTAGAAACCTCCATTTAGGGAATTTTCCCGCCAGCCACCTTTGCCAGAGGGTAACCACGTTTCAGGGTGCTTCATTGCCTGCTGAAACCAGTGCTGTCACCACAAAATACCTGGGGTGCCCAAGGACTCCCAAGGTACCGGGAACGGTCCCCAATCACTTCCAGGATTCCACTCCACTGTTTAGAAGTCAAGGCCCAACTTGGAAGACTTCTCCGAGATGTCGAATACCCCAGAGATCTAACCAACAATTTATAACAATTTTCAGATTTCATTATGGTGTTTCAAGCCCAAAATCGGACATCATGGGCTGTTGACCCATGAATTTGACCATATTTGATGCAACGGCCCAACGTCAGGTCGACCCATCACCTCCCCGAGTACCGTGAAGCTCCTGTCCTCCGCCTCGGTGCCCACGCTCCGACGGGACCTGAGAAGGCCGATGACTCGCAGCGTTGGAGTATTGGGGGCTATGATGGGCTATGGGTATCAATGGGATTATCTACATTTATCTACTAACCAGAGTCTAACCAGCTCAGTTTTTGATGGTTTTTGGGTAATGATCCAAGATTGGCCATGGAAAAGCTGGGGAGATTGAACGTGAAAGAATGGGGAGAAGTTTTGAAAAACATGTGATATAGGTTGACGAACGTCTGAAAGAATTCGGACTCCCAGGAAAAACTGGGAGTTTTTCAGTGCGACATCCGGCCAGGATGGGCACTACTAGCAGGTGGACAGGCCAACCTGGGCCGCTTGGGGGTGTTCAACAACCCCAAGGAACCATTAGATGGAACAGTATTTGAATGTAACATGAATTTTGTGGTTGGATCAGTGATGAATAATCTCAATTAAAGGTCTATCAAACTCAAGCAAACTGTTGAGACAGTTCAGCCCCAAGAATGTAAATATCCCACATGCAAACCCCAATTTTACCGTTCGGAACTTGCCTCAACCATGCCCAAGCACAACTACGCAGCATCCCCCCAATAGTTCTGAAGATTTCTTATTCAAACATGGAACTATATTGTATAAAAGAATATAAAAGACCTCATCTAATTATCCATGATAATCATTTGATAATCACTATACTCACCCATTAAGAATCATTATCCAGCAAGCAGTTTATATCATGTGATGGGTATCTCTGGTTATCAACTGGATCTCCGCCGCCGCAGTTCGGTCCCAGCGGAGTCCGAGCGAGGCGAGTTTGGGTTCAACATCGACTTGATGCTCTACCCGCTATACCCTATAGTAACAACCAAAAAGATAGAAAAGTGATTGATCACTACCTGAAAGTGGCATTTTACCTCTCTATTTTTGGGGGGATAAACATGGAGATGATCGTGTTTTTAAAGAAAGCACAAGCAATCTCTGTGAAATTTGCAAGTTGATTCGGGCTGATCCTGGCAATGGGAAATTCTGCTGTTGTTCGTGCTTCAAACATGGGTGATTTACAGAGTGTTTGAACACAGAGCTTGTGGCTTCAATTCATACACTCCACATGACATGCTTCCGCGAAGAGCCAAGTGATCAGCATTTTTTGCATCTGGGTATCCCCAATTCTTGAAGAGGGTAACCTCTGGTAAATTAACATAGCTATTGAAAATTGCCATTTACAGTGGATTTACCCATTAAAAATGGTGATTTTCCATAGCAAACTGTTAGTTTACCAGAGGGTAATTAATAATATCACATGATCGGATTTTGGGGTCCATTTTGAGGCCGAGAGCATCCAGCTAGTTCGAGAGACGCAGTCCACGAACTTCCCATGTATCATCTAGTTTGTTAGTTGTGGCACAACATTGTTGGTAAATTTCTCTGATTAGTTTATCCAGTCTTCACCAATTAAATCGCCATGTTTCCTGTCAAAGCTGAATTTGGGATGATTACACATATATGTTGGTACCATTTATTTGATGGGTTCATGTGGGTTTGTGTCAGGCAAGAGTACCCCAAGAGTTTATGAGTATCATTATCTTCCTAATCAAAATGAACATTTTGTTGGGGCCTCATTTTCAGAGTGACACACACACACATATCACAGAGAGTCGGTATCAACTTATTTCCCAAGTATAATCCACATTGTCCATGATTTCGTTTGGCCAAGAACCTACCTAATTACATTAATCAATGATGAAACATACTCTATTATATATATATATATATATCTCCATTCATAAATTACACATATTACTGTATTAACGCCTAGAATGATGAACTACAAACTCCCATAAATTACCACCATCAATTCTCATAAAATGCCATAAATTCCATGTTTTTCCATTCCCATTGATGACTCCTCCCCATTTCCGCCAGTCTCGACACCAACAGTCCAGAGAACTGATCTATAGCTACGATCCCGCACCCGATCTGGCGGGGTTTGGGTCACGTTTGGTCAGTTTTTAAACGTCAAAGCTGTGGGATTTTGATGGAGTTTGCCAACCAAAAATGTGGATTTGTTTGGATCTAATCATCAGAAATCGGATTTGAAGGATGATTTATACAGAAGGATTGAAGCATCAAGCATCAAACGTGGGGCTAGCATTAGCAATAGGGTTTTGAACGATATGAGTTAAAACCTCTGATTTTTTCCACATAGGCTGGAGGGATGAACATCCAGAAGGGCACCAGGGTGAGTTTCCCAGCCATAGCCTGTGACGTTCTGTGAATATTTTCGATGAGGATTGGTGCACCAGATTAGCTTGACCCAAATTGTCGTGGGGGTTTGGGATGGTTGTTCTAGGTGAAGTTGGCGCGCAAGAAAACACCATGCAAGTACTAAAGTCACTAAAGAGAACTTTTGTGTCCCTGAATTGGTTATATGTAGAGGCAACATTTACAGGGTTTACAAGAAAAACATTATGGGAAAAGCCATACCTGAGCCTGAGTTTCCTATTGATGCTTCCTGACAATACAACAAGCCAGTGACCGTGGTCGGTGGCATGTTTTGGCTGTCAGCTTCGCTTCTTGGGAAAGACTATGGCAATGAGAGCTGACAAGTCATGGTCAAGTTTGAGAAATCCAAGCTGAATTTGATATGTGAAAGTTATTGAAACTTCCGGATTGCATGGAGGTTTGTGTGAGCAGACCTGGAATCTACCTACACTGAGAGTAAAGAGCAAATAATTAGAGTTCTTTTACTCTCAAATCCAATGTTTCTTACCTAAATCTGTCCAGATATCAGACTAGTATAGAACCATCTAGGATAACAGTAGTCTTGATTACACCCGATGAATTCAACCTAAAGGAAAAACATACTCAATCTATGCAGATCTTGGTTTCAGGTCAGTTTCCTAGTTACACACACGATGTACAATTTCAATCAATTTCATCACTGAGTATGGAAACATCACTATTTAAACAACCGAAAATCCCATTTTCCACCCATTTCTTCCACACTAAAATCCCAACTGTTGGTGCTAAAATCCCAAAAAAAAACACAGCGCCATGGTGGAAGTCGTGGGCAAGTCGGTGCGAGTGGTGGACACGGGTTTGCTGTGTGGTGCCCCAGTCCATTTGAGGATTGTGAAATAAAAACCATCCAGCTATTGGGATACCCACATTTTAGGAAGCCACCATATATATATATATATCTAATACAATATATTATGTGTATATGTATATGTATGTATGTACGTACTAATATGCGGTTTATCGACCAAGAAACATCACTGGTAGACACCATCTTGAAGGGGGCAAACTTTGATTCGAACAACAAAAACATGGGATTTAAGCGTCAAAAACATGAGTCTAGATGGAGTTGCATGCTGAGGTGTTTGCGGGTCAAGAACCTTCGAAGAATATGTATCTCTAGAATTGTCTAGATCCTTCATCATCAGCAGGACCATGCCTGAAAGGTGTGAAATGGAGTTATCAGAGAGAATTCCTTGGTTTTGAGTAGCGGTTTGAACATGTTTGAAATGCACTACCTGGCACCACGTTTTGGGTGGTTCTGCTGCTTACTTTTAAATCTTTTAAAGGAGCGCACTGGAATAGCAGGATGCCGGGATACCTCAGCACTTTTATGTTCCAGATTCTTTTGAGGCATCCAAACCTATTTGAATGCATGTTGGTGCTTGTCAAACTTTGATGCCCGAAAAATCCAACAGACATCAACAGACTCTTGAGTTTCAGGAGTTGGAATCCAAGGAATTCTTAGAGTCAAGGCCCAATGTTTTAAGAAAACCTTAGAGAAGGCAGTGATTCCTCTCTTAATTGTTGCTTGAATCATGCTTGTTGTGGTGCCCCTCAGTTTGGTATTGCTTTATAAACTCTATTGAGTAAACGACCATGATCATCCGTTATCTACCATAAACCATAGTCAATCTAGTTAAAAAACAACAACTTAGCCATGGATTGATATTCACAGAACCTCGGAGAGCACAGCACCATGCCGGCAGGAGCATTGACGAGCTGGCCGGCAATGTGGCCACTCAGAACGATCGCATCAGCATCGCTTTGGTGAAGGCGGAGCAAATCGCTGGATCTCATGCCGGTTATTCATTGTATGTATATAAATATGGGGGTTGCTTAAAATAAGGAATCCCAAAAACTTCCAAAAACCATAGGTTTCAATACTGTAATGGTCGTTTATGACTTGGATGATTTGGGGGTAGATCTATTTTAGGAAACCTCCATATACATCCATATACAAAAATGGTGATTTTCCACTATAAATGGTGATTTTCCACTATAAATGGTGATTTTCCACTATAAATGGTGATTTTCCACTATAAATGGTGATTTTCCAGTGTAAATGGTGATTTTCCAGTGTAAATGGTGATTTTCCACTATAAATGGTGATTTTCCACTGTAAATGGTGATTTTCCACTGTAAATGGTGATTTTCCAGTGTAAATGGTGATTTTCCACTATAAATGGTAATTTTCCAGTATCAATGGTGATTTTCCACTATCAATGGTGATTTTCCACTATCAATGGTGATTTTCCACTATCAATGGTGATTTTCCACTATAAATGGTGATTTTCCACTATAAATGGTGATTTTCCAGTATAAATGGTGATTTTCCACTATAAATGGTGATTTTCCACTATAAATGGTGATTTTCCACTATAAATGGTGATTTTCCACTATAAATGGTGATTTTCCAGTATAAATGGTGATTTTCCACTATAAATGGTGATTTTCCCATTAAAAATGGTGATTTTCCCATTATAAATGGTGATTTTCCAGTATAAATGGTGATTTTCCAGTATAAATGGTGATTTTCCACTATAAATGGTGATTTTCCCATTAAAAATGGTGATTTTCCACTATAAATGGTGATTTTCCACTATAAATGTTGATTTTCCCATTAAAAATGGTGATTTTCCACTATAAATGGTGATTTTCCACTATAAATGGTGATTTTCCCATTAAAAATTGTGATTTTCCCATTATAAATGGTGATTTTCCACTATAAATGGTGATTTTCCCATTAAAAATTGTGATTTTCCCATTAAAAATGGTGATTTTCCACTATAAATGGTGATTTTCCCATTAAAAATGGTGATTTTCCCATTATAAATGGTGATTTTCCACTATAAATGGTGATTTTCCACTATAAATGGTGATTTTCCCATTAAAAATGGTGATTTTCCCATTAAAAATGGTGATTTTCCACTATAAATGGTGATTTTCCCATTAAAAATGGTGATTTTCCCATTAAAAATGGTGATTTTCTATAGTTATGGAGCAGTTTACCAGAGGGTACCCCTGAATTTGCCAATGCGATGGTCTATCCATGACGACCCATCCAAGGCGCAACGGCCGAAGGTAGATTGCGGTTGCGGATGTGGGCATCACAACATGGGCAAAGCTTTAAAGCGCTGATTTTTGAGAATTTAGTACACCTCAACAAAGTATATATATATAAGAAATATATAAGAAATATTACTTGAAAATTCGGTTTGAAACCAAATCGGCTCTGTTGATTGGGGATATAAACAGCCACAATTACAGGAATAATCGGAATCATGTACTTTAAATTAAAAAAAACACATCTTGCTTTCATTGTGACCGTACTATTTTGTGTATCAATGTTCATGTAGTTGGTGGTTTGTTGTTGAGTCATCCGGTGGTTAAACACGTGGCAGGTCTCAGAGCCTACTAGTGAACCCTGGCTCACGCTGCACTATGACGAGTGGATGTGCGTGCCTGGGCCATGGGTCACGTGTAACCCCTGGAGGTTGCCAAGCTTAGAGATGCTGGCAGTGTTCCAATTTTTGTATTTGCATATTAGTATTTTTTATATATCGGGCATTGTTTCATTGGTAAAACACATTGAGTTGCAGGACAGGCAGGACCTCCCGCAATTCTCCTCATGCCCTAGGTGTTGAAAGGCCGGATGGTCTCTTGGCAATGCAGACGCTTGCAATGAGCGCGGGTTTGGCACGGGATCAATTTTTGGCCCAAGTTGGTCGTTGATTAATATTTCACTGGTTCCCGTTGATCATTTGAGTGATTACTGTGGGGTTCACATATTTATTTGCAATGGTTAAAACACATGCAGCACAGCAAACACCAAACCCAACAGGTGAAGAGTGGGGTAAACATGGATCAAGGAGCCTTTGCAGTTTTGTATGGATTGGTTTGGAAACAAGTTTGCAGGAAACCAGGGCATGTTACCATCAAATAAACTATTTTTCTTAAGACAAATACCTGTAACCCATGGATGGACGGACCTTTTAACACCATTGATTGTTCGGAGATTGGTTTATATGGAGTAGCAATTTAACCTCCCATATTATAATCGGTATTATCGGTCATATGTGGCACGTTGATTATTGGTTGACCGCTTCTTTACTTCGCGGTTTTTTAATTTCTGTAAATGAAACACGGTAAATTGACTGACTCGCAAATTATGAACCAATTGTGGTCAATCATCAACAATCTCTTAATTTGTCAACTATGAACTATTGATTGACCACTATGTTTCATTGATAAACCAATCTAGTTCTTATCATGAACCAATGGATCATTTTGTTCACCAATCGTCAGTGTATTGATCCCAGGTCCTTCTCCATGGTGACTTATCGAGCGTGGAGGTCCTAGCCGGACAGACGGTGTTCATCGCCAAAGGACGGCCATGGCGGCCATGACGTCCCATTTTTTGTCGGAACAAAACGGATGGAAATTGGAAACCATATCAACAAAAGACATATCAAAAATTACACACATCTCCAAAAATTGCCAGGAAATAGAAATCATAAATTTTTGATTAACCATCCAAATTGTTGAAACATTTGGAAAAAGAAACCATTGTTGATAAAAACTTGAAATATGCGTTGACCATCAAATGATCAATATGTTAACATGCCGATTTGATGCTATATGGGTATGTATTGTTCAGCATATCGATATACGTAAATTATGTATATTATATATACGTGTATATATATACACATTTCAGAAACAAGCAAAAACAATGAATGCAAATAAATCAACATGATGTATAAATACATAGGTCATTGTAGATCATTGAATCCATTTTACATTGTTCTACAGTTCTACAGGAAAAACATACCCAAATATGTCGGTCGTTTGGTACTTCATGCCTTGAGCCAAACTCATGGATTGGAAACAAAACTCATGAAATGTGGAATGATGAGATGATGATGAGAAGGATGAGTATAATTTGACGCAATATGAGTTGATATCAGTAGGTCTGAAGCCACGTCTTTGCATTTCAACCCCTTTGGTGGAATAATCATTGAATGTGAGTAAAACAAGTCAGTAAACCATGGTTGTGTCATAGTTGTATAAACCATCAAAACATGGGTAGTTGGATGGATCAGCTACGTCTCGGGGATCTTGGACAGTCTGTCAACCTTTCAAGATCACTTCACTTCAACATGTTTGCCGAACACATTGAAAACACCAGGGTATGGGTCAATACCTATAGATACATTTTTAGTGGGATGAACATCCATAAATCCCAGCTATTTTGGGGTTCACTAGGTACCAGGGTTTTGACCCATCCCCACCACCATTGATTTCTGCAAAAACAGCTCTCCTTTCAGAGAGGTTGAACCCCTCAGAAAAAGCTGATCCTTTTGGGGATCCAGCGGGAATTCCAGGAGAACGCTTTCGTCCCACGTTTCCCGAAGGCAATACAGAGTACATTCCGGTCACTCGTCAAGGGCCAGGAGTGGGCCAGGGGTGACTTATTAGTGACGTATTAATGACTATAAGCATGATGTATAAAAGTGATTCTACCCCCCATAGGTTGGAATATGTCTGAAAATAAATGTGTAACCCCTAGAATTGTGGCTAGATGACCACTTGTGAATGAAACTGCACGCCCAAGATTAAGATGGCAGGGTCAATGATAGATTCGCCATTGACAGTGTGAATCTTATGCAGAGATCATAGCATTCTACTGTTGGAAGAGATCCAATAACAAACCAAGGGTCCTTGATGGGGGTTTATTCAGGCGGGAAGGGAATGCTGATACCAGTCGAAGGCTGAGGAATTTCGACCATGTTCCCCCGCACCTGCGTTTGAAACCAGCGAAAAAGGTATTGGACGAATTGTCATTATCAGTGTTTTCCATGAATACCTTCTGTATATTTAATATGGCAACGGGTATCTCAGTTCTGAATCCTGTTCAGTATCCTATTGTTCTTGTTAGATTGGTTAGGGACCCAATCAGGTTTGTGTCGACGACATTTGTTTGCTTTTAACTTTTATCATATTGGTTATGGTTCAAATAAATAGTATTTATTGGTTTAAGAATCTTAGACCCACAATTTTTCCCAATCTTGAGAAACCACCTATCGTAGGCTCCCGTGTTTGTATTCAACACCTTCTTCATAAGTTGAAGATGGGCCTTAGGTCTGCTTGCCAGCTTTTCGTCCGGATCGCTGCATCCGAGAAGAAGATGCCGACAGCCACCTGACCAGCTGTCAGATCTAGAGCTGGGGTCAGAATGACTTCTGGGACCACAGATGTTGACTGTTTATTGTTTTATTGTTTCTAATGTCACTATTAATCATTATTATACTGATTCATGATGACATATGATGACTAAGAGAGATATGGTATGATATAGTATCATTCATGGTATTTTTGTTCGTAGTATGAAGTAACAATAGTACTGCATCCAGCACTTCACTGAGTATTGGGGGCCATGACCCATGCCCATATCGTGGGGGACGGTTGACCCATCGGGCCATGGAAGTTGGGATTGAAGCCCGAATATGGTCGGAAAATATCAATGCGGATTTCATCAGTAAAACATATGGGGGTACCCAATAGCTGAATGGTTTATAAGGGAAATTCCATCTATAAATTCATGATTTGGGGGTGCCCCCATTTTAGGAAGCCTATATGGTAAAACTGGTGGTTTCCTTAATACGTCACGTCATTTTTGTGCACCTTTCCCAAAGATGAAGGTCTTTGAGATCATGCATATTCATAATAGCTTGGGTCATCAAGACCAGAAAGTCATACCCAACAGGGGAAGAAAAATCTCAACACATTCACAGGGGATAACTATTTTCTAGAAGTGAATACAATACATTCACGGAACAGTTTACAATACATTCACATCAGTGAAGCTCAGTTATCTGTAAAAAGAGTTTGATACGTTGGGTCTAGATCAGTTTGAGTACTTGAGGGACATCAAGTTTTTTTTGATGAGCATTTCGGGGCCATGATGATCACAAGAATTTTTGCATCACTTGGTAGCAGTGGTGTCATTTTGCCAACTTCATGGGAAAAGTATGGTAGCCCCGGGTTTTCAGGGACATGTTTTATACTGATGTGGTAAACCCAATATATAATGAAATTAATAAACCATTCCCAAAATCACCATGCTTATGGTGTTGTAGACCATCCCCAGTCGTGGTCCTTGTTTATGGCAGCCAGGGTTTACCACATTGGTGGGAAAGAGATCAATCAACAATCACCCAAAGTTGATGTTCAACCCCCAGCTGGGACATGATGCGCGCGGGCTGCCGTTTTAGGCGATGTCAGCAACAAGCTGCAGGAATTGCATGGTGCAAAGACAGGCGCGGGATGTGCTGTCGAGAAACACAGACGTACTGGAACGGCTATGATGGACTGAGTTTGCCCCTAGTTATCTATGTTAAGTTCTACATCAGAAAGCCCTGTATCTAATGATTCAATGGATTGGTTTAAGGGAAAATCTACAGGAAATGATAGATTTTCCATGAAACATGGGACTTTCCTCCAAATTTCCCCTTAAACCAATCCATTGAATGATGTGATATCAGATGATATCAGTGATATTCCATAATGCCAAAAGAATGCTATGATCCTGAACGCTGTGCCAGATGCTGCCTTGTGTAAGGAACATTGTCCATAAATCCAGCCATTCCCAATGACCAATTTGACACGTTTGGAATGGTGTTGTTATGTATGGGTTTGTCTGAAAATTGGTGATTTGAGGTTGTGTAAAAAGCGGGGGTATTGGCATTTAGAATTGATATATATATATATATGTGTGTCCTTTAGTTTTATTTTCAGGCAAAACGATAAGGAAGAAAAAAACGATAAGATTCACATATATGCCCAACATATGGCCTGAGTTGCTTGCTTTTGGCTTGAACACATCGATTATCGGGGATGAAAATTGATTGGGAAAGTGAATTTCGGATCCGAAAAATTGTTTGGTGCTTGTTCTTCCAGAGTGGGTGGTTAGAAGGGGCCAAGATTTGAAAAGGTGATTTTTGCTTGCTGAAAGTCATTCTTTTGGATGTATCTGCAAAGTTGGTGCTTGGAAAGGCCACACCCTGGAAAAGGTGATTTTTGTTTGCCGAAAATCCTTTTTTCCTCTTCTTCCAGAGCTGGTGCCTTGGAAGGGGTAGGGGCTTGAAAAAGTGATTTTCGCTTGCCGCCTGCCGCAAATGTTTTTTCCATCTTTCTCTAGAGCTGGTGCCTTGGGCTTGAAAAAATGAACCTCCAACTCATGTACTGCAGATAAAGAAAATCCAAGGAAATCTGAAGCTGAAACCATGTATGTTCCACATAATGCAAGATATTCTGTGGGGGCTCAAGCTCCCAACGTCCCACTTGCTGGGCTGACGCTCTACCAACTGAGCTATTGACTGGCCTTAGTGTTTGACAACCTTTTCTCTAACGTTTTGACCTATTTTTTCTATGGCTGCGCAGCAACAAACCCCTTTCTGCATGTGTTGCGCGAAAAAGCTTTTCAGCCCGTGCTGCCTCTGTTTTGGACGGCTGTCCTGAGCTGTCTCCGGAAGCACTATTTCCACATTCTAAATTGGGAAATTACGGAGAGTTTGCAAAACCCTCACCACGTGCGAGCCTTCAACAATGATTCTCGGCTCCTTTGATTTTGGCCCAGCATGGGAACAAGCGCTGTCCGCACTAAAAGAACTGCGTGTCGATTACAGGAAGGCGGCACGCGTGCAAGTTACCTAAATTAATCTTGACACAGGGAGGAGTGAGAAACAACAACACAGTGCATCCATGTCTTGTGATTTGAAACATGTAGAACTTCAATTTCTTTGTGAGTGGCAATTGAAGGCAAGACTGGTGCCAGCAGCCACGACAATTCCAGCTCCACTGAGTGTAGTAAAGTTGCAGCATGTTGTTTTCATGGGAAACGATAAGGTTTGGTTCCTCGGTAACCATTTCCCCGCAAAACGATGAGGAAGAAAAAAACGATAATGTTTGGATGTGTGCTTGAATTAAAGCCCCGTTTTCATACAACCTCATTTAGCCCCCAGTCCCAAAATGATGGTTAACCATTGGATGGAATGGAATGATGGTTAACCATATTCTTTCAGACATCCTGCAATCGGAGCAAAAAACATGATCACCTGGGCATGATCATTCAGGAAAACACTTATCTTTGCTCATCTCCTTAGTCTATTGTCTATATTGTCTCTTTTTGCCATCTTTTAGGCATAAGACATTATAGACTAGAACTACTTCTACTAGGTAGTTTTTTTCTTACTCGACACTCTGGAAACTCCACGGCCGCACCCCAAAAAGATGAGCCGCGAAACTCCACGCGTCAGGAACGGCCGGATACTCTGCTGATGGCGTGGCGACTTCGCTGGCCCCTGGAGAGGATCCAGAACCAGACGCATGGCAGCGTGGGGAGGATGGTTGGTTGGATGGGGGTATGGGCGACCAATTGGCACTTCGATTTTCCCAACCACTGCAAGATGATATATATATAATTGTATATACATATATATATATTACAATTATATATATATATTACAATTATATACATATAAATAAATATATATATATATAATTATATTGATTGGTTGAATTCAACTGTGTCCTCAATGGTACAAAACCAGCCCAGCTGACTAAAAGTCATGGTCCAACCTCTCGACTTAGGAGGTGATGTACCACATGCCCCTTGGCTCTGCGTGGGCACAGCGCGGCGCGGCTCGCGGGGAATTTGTTGTTTTCTTGAATGATAATATACATAAAAAAACAACTATAAACAAATATTACCAAGTCAAAATATGTTATGAATTAAATGAAATTATCTTTAAATGATCGTTTTTTTTTCGATAATTTAGTTTTCTGATACACCGTGGCTGCTTTGCAATCGTGGTTGTCATGACATGTCATGACAGTGGATGCTGGAGAGACTTCATCTCCATGTGAAGATGCTTTGATCATCTCATTTGCGGTACTCAAACCATCCGTGATTAACTGGGGTACCCAACTGTCACTCTCAGTTGATATAGTTGACAGCGATAGAGGAACGTCCTCCCCTTTGTTCAGCGTTTTTGTGTTGGGGGAACTGGGAACTCAACAGATTCTGTTTGGTTGGACACCCCTGAAGTGAATCCCCTCTGTTTGGACCGAAGCCTACAGAAAGGGCCGTTTCTGTATAAACATCAGTCGCTTCCCATGGTCGCGGCAGCATTTCAAGTCCCATCCTGCGACACCAGGTGTGACAAAGCACTCTGGGAAGCAGCGAAGAAAGCAGATGTGGAGCCTTGACTCTGACATTACTCTGACTCAGATATGGAAGGTTTTCCCGGCCTTTGACAATGAGTTTCTGGTTGGTGGTTTGGAACATGAATTGTATTTTTCCACATTGGGAATAATATGGAATAAAATCCCAACTGACTAATATTTTTCAGAGGGGTTGAAACCACCAACCAGTTTCTGTAGGGGGGGTAAAAAGAACCTTGAATGTTTGGCTGGACAATCCCTCATGTTCAAGAGAAACATCGACCCTCTGGTTACAAATAACATAGCTATGGAAAATGGCCCGTTTATAGATGAATTATACTCTTCAAGATGGTGATTTCCCATAGCTACGTTAAAGAACCTAGAGGATCTGCATGGAAATCAACGTTCTGCATGTTTGGCTCAGTTCCCACGCAGTGGATTGAATCTCGTCAAATTCTAGATCATGAAGACATTCACCTCCGGCACTTAATTGGTGATTTGGACCACATCACCTTGAAGAAAATATATGATTTCTTGGTTCCTGGTGATTATATCATTTATATCTTAGATGCACAAAATTGTGTTTGAATATGGGTGATATAGCTGTATAACCCATCAAATTATCGCAGCTTTGATGTGAAATATGATTGAATTTGGAGTTTTCCCCTCGATTTTCAGACAAAGCCATATCCCAATACAATATTCCCATTAAATATCCCTATGTGAAGGTTTCCTAAAATGGGTGTACCCCTAAATCATCCATTTTAATATATTTTAATAGGATTTTCCATTTTGAAGCATTGATTTTGGGGTATCCCAATTTTAAGAAACCTCCATATGTTGAGATTTTTACGATCGGATCTGGATGCTCCGCTTCCATCAATCCACAGTCGGCTCATGAACTTTTTGACCCAAACCTATCTTGGGTTACGACCCACACCCGAATCTTGGAGAGTGAAAGCAATCCTGAAAATTTGACTATGATCCTGGTTGTGACTATCAGTTTTTTTTGGGAGATAATCCGAAGCCCAAGTATCCTCCGCAAGCATTGCTCCCCCATAGTATTTAGTTCAGCGGCTAATTTCCCGAAGTTTTGATGGTTATTTAAACCGTTCAATCCGCATTTCATGGCGGGGGTCTTCCAACCACGAGCTCATAGCAGGGTTGTCATGTTCGTTGGAAAACGGGTATCCCCAAGTTCTAAATGAACCACTTGCCAGTTCATCCACGGGCTGCAAGACATCCCTGTTGTTTGATGATTTTATTGAGGGTTATGTCCTTAGTGATTTTACTACTTCCCTTGACAGGACAAAGAGCATGTATGTTTTATATTAATGACGTTTGGTTATGTTTGGTTCATGATTTTAGGGGCTTAGTGCTACCCTATATCTTGGGGATCATGGATGATCATAACTGGGCATCCTCAGAATCCGGTTCTTAACCAACCAGTTCTCCAGCGTTCCACAGGCCTACTTTCCACCCACCTTTCAAGCCGATGGCTTCACTCACGCTACCGCGGTGCCCTCTCGGTTGCTCGAGGTGGCGAATCATTTCTACCAGGAGCTCTGCATTTTTACCCCGGCTGTTGGTAAAAATGCTACCCTCTATGGGATAGCGATGGTATATGTATATATATATACCCTACACTTCAATGTTGAAGTTTAACTTCGCACTTGTCAAATACTATGTTTGACCCAGTTAAACATCGCATGTGTTAAATACTATGTTTGACCCAGTATGTTGGTTACACCAAGTTCTATGGATATAGGATCGGGATTTCAACAGATTTAACCAAGTAATTATGGGCTCAAGCATGCTCAAGGAGGCATGTTCAGGATTTCACCCAATGCATAGTCGATGAGACGTGCTCTGAGGAGAAGCCTGGGACTTAGATCTGTCTCTAGAGTGGCACAAATACAAACAAACTTTGGGAATCTTCATAAAGAATCTTAATCTTGGTTTTTCTCATCTTCCAAGGGGCGAGATGCTATGCCGGGCCAGGTGCCCACCTCCCTGTGCATCTCTTTGGAACTTCATTTTTGCGGGTAGTGCGTCTCTATTGTAGTGGCCCAAAAATTAGAAACATATAGTGAAAGAAACAAAGAGATGGATACCCCTCAAAATCCTTGGGACATCTTTGGACAACATAAATACTACTATGCTATAGGTGATCTGATTCTGATCCATTCAGCTGAATTGCATTAAGCCTGATTCCATGGTGTTTGGGCTCCATATAGCCGCATGATTTGTCATCAATGCAGTATGGATTTGAATGGATTTCAAATTGGTATCCATGCTGACGGGGCATTGTGGGATCCCAAACCTGCCCACCAGAGACCGGCTTTTTTGTCATTTTTTCCAAGTTAGACCAAGTCGTCCGTGAGCCATGCCCACCAGAAAGCCTAGCAGTGAGAGGGTTGCACTGCTCAAGGCTTCTCAGTGGTTGCATGCACACTGTGTGTTTGTGTGTATGTGCATGGGTGTGCCAACTGTGCATACTGTTCATGGGAGGCTTTCTACAAGGACCTGTTGAATGTGAGTTCCTTCCGGGAGGACAAGTTTCGGGACTTAGCAAAGAAACAAGGGGTACCTCTACCCAAAGTTGAAGACGCTTTGCGGAAGAACAAGGTTGGGTAACTTTTGAGACAGCATGATAATTTACAATGTTTTGTCTTATTGATGGAAAAGATTCTACTTACTCCTTCAATCCCGGCATGCCAGGTACCTTCAGTGGAATTTTCCTTTGTCGATACCGCTGGCAGCAAGGGTATTTCCGAAGAAACAGTGTGCCTAGCAAATGTTAACAGGTTGGTTCACAACATGCACCTGCAGTCTACTACATCCCTGGAGCCAGGTCCAGCTGGAAACCAATACGCAGTTTGCATTGCGCTGGCTTCCCAGCTTCGCCTTGGACTCTCCTACAGAGAAAGAGGTGGAGGCTGTCCCACTATCATGAATCCAAATGTATCAATGATTGTTTTTTTCCCTTTAGTGCTAATATTAATTATATATCTCGATTTGGCCAGATGGCGCTGGCACATGTTGCTGGCGAGTACAAACTGCACGACTGCGAGAGCATCCACGACTTGGAAGAGACTTGACTTCTTGACTTAATTCATTCATATTTTCTGGCCTATGCACCAGTTACCAGTTGTTAGAAACAGATTATTTATATATGTTATATTGCTGAGGAATGGGCCCGGACAGAAGGAAACTTGCACCGGGCTTTGGCCAGCAAGAATCTGGCAAGCTATGGTCGCACACCACTAGCAAGGCCTATTTGTGATCAAATATTTCATTGGGTGAAGCTTTGTGGTCCCCTGTTGATTGAATTCCATTCTGGTATCGGGTATCCAAACACAGGCGGCCTCACACCAAGTGCCACTGGTAGGACCAAAGACTCCAACATGGCCAAACTGAAGAAACTTGTGTCCATGATCTATGAGGAGAGTTGGTAATATTGTTTTTCTTGCCTAGAGTTTTTCCAATTCAACTTTTAGAACACATCATGTCCTTTTGTAGGAAGCCGGCGTTACCAAAAGAACTAAATCAATAAGGAAGCATATGATGACAGGCGAAGCAGAACAGGCCATAAGTTTTCCAATGAAAGCTGCTGAATGTTTTGTTTCTATTCATTTCTCCATTGTTTGTTTTTCTGATACCGATCTATAGGCGAAAAAAGAACCGAAGGACAACAAAGAGACAAATGACAAAGCAGAGGAGAAAGAAGAATGCAAAGAGGAGGAGGAGGGCGGTTCATGTGTAGAAGTGATAGAGGAGATACACTTAGAAGAAGAAGAGGAAGAGGAAAGTTTCGAGCAAGATGAACTTGTTGAGCCGACTGACAACACCGACAAACATGGGAACACAGACGCCCCTGAGAAGCATGCAAATGAGGCTGCCCCAGAACAGAACACCAAGGTTTCAGCAGGAAGCAGCTCTGCTTTGGAAGCAAGAAAGACTGCCCTAGAGAGTGCCAAAGACGCAATTGAAAGCGAGAAAGAAAATGCAACTACGGCAGCCGCAACGGAAGCAGAGAAACATGTTGAACCTCCACCCAAGAAAACCAAACTTGAGAACCAAAACAGCCATGAAGACCTTCTTGAGGCCAGGAAAAAAATTTTGAGGAAACAAAGCATGGCTTGAAAGTAGCGCCGCGAGACATGGATGAAACTCGCCCTCCCCAGAAACAGACCACTGAGACTTCCAAAACCGAGACAGTCACTGAAGCACCAGAACCAGAGACTCCCAAAGCCGAGACACCTCAAGTCAGTGCAGCACTTCCCGGCAAGGAAGAAGACATGACCGATGATCGACCAAAGCCAGATGCTGCTACCTTTGCCAGGACAAAAACCACTATGGCCGTTAAGCTCTTGAAAGCCCAAGGTTTCAATAGCCTTGTCGAGTTGGCCAACAGCTTGACCATCCAAGTGCAAGAGGTTCTGTTGGCTTTGGAGGGAACTGCAGGATTTGCAGGAGTCAAGGGAGATATTATCCACAAAATTTTGGAAATTGGTGGTTCGCAGGAGAGTGGTGATTCTGTCCATGTTGAATTGGGGAAAGAAGACATGGAAGTTGAAAGTGATCCCGAGAAAGAAGAAAAAGGCAAATCAACCAAAGGAACTTACCAGGACCAGGATTTTGAAATTATGTTCGCCTTCAGTCGACTTGCACTTCTTTTTTCCAATCCATCTTTTCCAGTAGAAGCAAGGGTTCCTTTCTTCCAGGACACGAAGCCCCTTGTAGAAGCACTTCCAACAATTCCCAAGCCACTTGAAGATGATGCCACAGTACAAGCCAAAATTCTGGAGGCCAGTGATACTTTTGATAAGATGCATGGAAACTGGTACACTCTCATCCCGAAAGATTGGTCTCTACTATATAACTATTTTTTTCTGCTGTTGCACTTTCACGTTGCCAGGAGCAGCGCCGCCTACGAGCTGAGATGAAGCCAAAGAAGAAGAATGCCGAGGAAGAAAGGACTGAGAATGCTTCGAAAGGTAAAGGCAAAGGGCGGGGGAGGGGAAAAGGACGAGGACGTGGTAGGGGCAAAAGGGCACCCATTGCCCCTGCTGATGAAAACGATGGCCATTCACATGAGGCTGAAATAGATGAGCAGGACCAACTGATGAAGTTCGAGCGACAACAGGAACCAGAAAAATCGAACCCGGCACCCAAACGCAAACGAACCAAGTCTGTGAAGAATGCAAACCAGGGTGAGGGCCAGCATGCAGATGGATCTGGAGATGGGAAGGGGAGTTCGAAAGACACAGCAGAGGCAAGCCAGGTGACCCCGAAGGAAAGGAATGATGAAGGAATGGAAAACACCGCAAAGAAGCCTAGAAAGGGAAAGGAGCCTGATTTCAGGTGTTTTTGTCTTGTTTCTGTGTGTGTGTAGCTGCGTGCACCTTCAACACTGCCAATCAACCAGGTGAATTTATCTCACGTGACATATTTTGCTCAAATGTTTCTTGATAGGAGACCGATTCCACTGTAAAGCGTCCAACAAGGGGCAAGGAAAACCCCAAGATGCAGGACCAAAACAAACACCCTGTCTCCTTCTTCCCATGGTCCGGCCTCTCAGTCATATCGATTTCGGCCAGGAAATGCGCACCAAGAACCTCAAGAAAGTCCGGGAGCTGGCACAGACGGATGGGATTATGTACCATCTTCCCACCCAGAAGCAATTGGATACTGCGATGTTGGTTTCTCAGATTTTTGAAGTATGATTATGATTAATCTCTTCACCCAAATATTAAACACCCCCTTAGAAACCATGGTTTAGTAGGGAAATTCCACATAACTGGGGGTGTTTAATATTAGGGTGATGATATCATTGTGTCCCTCTATTTGGTGGCTGCAAATCGATATCAACAACTGTTGAGGTCTTGGAAACAGGACCCGCCGGAAAGTGAGATCATCAAAGAGCTGTACGAAGTTTCTGTTCCCATCGTCACATCGCTTTGATCTAAGTCCGATCATTGATTTGGAAAAACAGTCATGGCAATTCCGTTTCAGATTTCATATATTCCTTGATGAGGCTGACTGGAAGCTTCTATATCAGCAATATTGACGAGTGTGTCTTGTACCACGTGAACAAGAGATTTGGAAAGGAGCTGCAGGCCGATCTCTCCTTCTGCAGCAACTACCTAGCACCCAATAAAATGAATAATTCTGTTTGCCCCACAGGAGAACAAGAAGAATGGAATCACTTTGACTTGGACAGTCCATGGTGGCATCCGCAAAGCGTGCCATCCCCAGTTCAGGGTGGAATTGCCAGCTATACCTTCATGAATGCTGAATACCAACTTGAGCAAAAAGCAAAATCATTTTGGGGTCACATAAGGTCAGTATTTTACATATGATTTTTTTGGATCAAACAATACAAGGATCAAGTGTGTTTGATCCAAACTTACATGGTTTACATGTTTGGTGCCTTGCTAATGTCAAAACCAAACCTTGACTTTGAGGTGGGACCTGGCCCGTTGCCTTTGCAACTGGACCAACTTCATGGAGATGGAACCGGACATCTTCACGGACTAGTGTAGGGCACTTTTCCAGACCATGGAACATGGAATGACACTAGCTGACTGGCTGGTACTTTGGGGGTTTAACAAGACCAGAATAAAACCAATCCAATTTCAGTATTAAGGACTGCGTCAACCGACTCTTTCTCAGGACATTTGCTGACCCCAAGTTTGAAAACCAGCATGCAGCTGCGTCAGCCGTAAGTTTTGATTTGCGAGTGAAATCATTCGGAGCACTAGCTCGCGCTTGGGGGAAAATTGAGCTATAGCTCCTATTTTTCATGAGCATTGATTGATTTCAACCAAGTCAAAAAATAATTGGAACAAAGGTTTTCCAGCACATGAGCATTCATCATTCCATTCAAATTATCATTTCCATTTCATTTTGATCTGACTATTTCCACCCGAGTGGCTGGCTCTCAAAAGCCTGGGTCTCCGCGCTTACCAGGTGTGATCCTTTCCAGCATGCCGTCTGTGCCATGGAGGCAAAGTACTTTGGCCTTGACGGCCACAGCGGCATCTATGATGATCTTCATGGGGTGTCCAAGTGTCATGTCTAGTCCTCAGGATTGAACAATAAAATAACTAAAGTTCCAGTGGCCTAATCTCGAAATTAATTATGTTTTGTGATCTCAGGTTGGATGTAGTTGACTTTGTCACTGAAGCAAGCTACAAAAACTATAATCGTGCTTGGGTCTTAGCACTTGGAGCCTAAATTATATTTGGACATTTCCCACACTTGAATCAGCCCAGGACTTGACCAACTTTGATGTCTTTGCTGGAAAACGAGCTATTGAAACTCAGTTCAGTGGAAGCCCCAGTATCATCATCCCACCCGGCTTAACCATATGGCCCTCCTCGGCTGCTGCGAGGTTCAAATGGATTCGCTACGTCAAAGCCCCAGCCTTTGAGTTGTGACTTTACTGGGAAGAGACTCAATGAATCCCAAAGCACCCTTTTGACACTGTTCAGTACTGGATCTATTTTGGATAATTTGGTGTTCCTTAATTTTTGCTGATTATATATATTGGGGCCCGGGGGTTACTTTGTATTGATTCATTGGGGATTCGGTTACTTTATTTCTGATTCAGGGACTACTACGACATTGCTTCTCGTGGTCCTCTGAACGACATTTGCACCACGCCAAGAACTCAATTGATATCTGCCTCAACCAAATTGGTACAAAAACAAATCGATCTCTATGTGTGTGCTTAGGAGCGGCTTCTGCCAAGCAATTCTGGGGGTACTCAGAGTCAAGGAGGACGGCCTAATTACATTTGGGCCTCCTTGTGGGAGCTATGTCTGGATAAACCGATCCAGTAGCGGAAGAAGGCCAGAAAGACCATATGGGTTTGAACACAAACCTTATGTGGAACGTGCTTCAATGAAACATGGCAAAAATTGGATATACAATTGGTACATGGTGGTTGGTATTGGCTCGTTATAATCAAATCCTAAAATCCCAAGGGTTCATACACACTATCAGTACCAGGTGGTTATTGAAAATATATATTATGTCCCATCCGAAAGTCTTTAAGGGGTTAGTTAACATGCTCAAATGGCCACCTTGGTCACCTTCAGCACAAAGATCTCAGCCGAGAAGTTGTTGATTTGTTTGCCATTGAGGCTGTTCAACGGCCTTTCCATTTGCTCTAATAATATTGTTTTCCAAAGAGCCGAGCAAGTTCGGTAGCCTCCCAGCCGCGCGTGCGACGTGTTGGGTAGGAACCGTAGTCCTGATCTACACAGGATCGCCGCGACAAGTTCGCTAATGTTGGTGCCGACCCCAAGCCCCTGAAATTTGGGCAGAGCGACCAACCGGCTCTCACTCATAGCGTCGTGCATATCGCTTTGTCAGCTGCCAGCGCACCAATATATCATGTATGGATCGCAAGCGGAAAAAATTAGGATATTGGGGTCCAATAGTTTATCACTACTATATTATCAATTAACCCATATTATGTTTATCTCCGGTACTTGGAACATTCCATGTTGGGTTTCAGTGGTCCCATTAGCTGGAACACAAGTGATGGATGCAATTTGCATTCTTGAATAACACCACATGTTTTTCACCACCTGCCAGGTGAGGGTTGCTAGATTTTAAGAGAGCTCTTCTCCTCCTCCTCCTCCGCCTCCTCACCCGCCGCCTCCTCCTCGCAGAAAAGATGTCAGATAGAATGTCAGAATCCTAGAAGATATGCCAGATAGAGTGCCAGGAGATATGCCAGATAGAATGTATGCCAGATAGAATGTCTAGAAGATATGCCAGATAGAATGCCAGAAGATATGCCAGATAGAATGTAAGAAGATATGCCAGATAGAATGCCAGAAGATATGCCAGATAGAATGCCAGAAGATATGCCAGATAGAATGTAAGATATGCCAGATAGAATGTCTAGAAGATATGCGAGATAGAATGCCAGAAGGTATGCCAGATAAAGTGCCAGATAGGATGCCAGAAGATATGCCAGAAGATATGCCAGATAGAATGCCAGAAGATATGCCAGAACATATGCCAGAAGATATGCCAGGTAGAATGCCAGAAGATATGCCAGATAGAATGCCAGAAGATATGTCAGATAGAATTCCAGAAGATTTGCCAGTAACTTAAATTGTATATAAATCTATAAATGTCATGGTGGGCATCACACGAAGTAAAGCAATTTTGTTTTGTGATGTATGACTTGTCACTCCTGATCCTACTTATTCTATTTTAAAATTCCAAAAAATGTTAGAGCTTCGGTAGAGCCCAACTTTTTACTGAATCCAGGGGAGCCACTAAGGATAGCAGTTCGAACCATACTTCTGGTGATCCTTGCCACTTGCCGAGGGGTATATACTATAGTGGAGCAACCAAATTCAAGTCTTTTTGGTCACCTACCTGGTCTGATCGATGTGGGCAATCGTATGAACAAACTGTTGCAGATGAAACTTTGGCGATCCACCTTCTTGTCATAGCCTGAGACTTCCTTCAAATGTCAAATTCTGGGTAATTAGAATATGCCCCAGCATAATTCAGTGATTGTTACTACGCTACTAAGTTGGATGGGAGCTTGGGGAAGCCCTACAGCTAAACCAAGCCGCGCTTGGGGAACCGTGCCAGATTCTCAGCGTCACTGTCGTGTCTTCGGAACGTCCTTGCACTGGGATGTGATGGATGGATGTGTGGAATTAAATTTGAGAATTCCTATGTTTGCATGATGGTACTTCATTGATTTAGGGATTGAATTTAACACCCAATCATTCCAATCACGGGTCCCTGGTTACAGCCTTTGTATTTGGTTTGGGCCCGGGCCCAGGTCATGGTTGAAAAGCTTATACAGGAAGATCACCAAAAAAGAACGCGCAAAGTTCAAGGCTGCTTCTGCAGCCCTCAAAGTCACCACAAAAAAGAAGGCTGACGGTTCCACATCAGTGTCTCTACCTAAGATGTGCTTTGCATCCAGGAAGATATATAATATAGAGTTGTTGGGTCTCTTTGAACATCTATCCCTCATGGGTTTCTTCTCTGAGGACCGGCGGACCAGGACTACAGAAGACCCAGGTTTATCCTGCAGGCTATGGCAAAAGGATCGTATATCTTCACAAAATGCTGATGGATGCAAAAGGTTTGCACTTGATGGCTTCCATCAAACTAGCATGGACAAGAATGAAAGACAAGAAATTCAAACCTGTTGGGGCCTCATTTTCTTTACTGTAGTTTCAAGTTTGACAAACAACAATAGCATCTGATCGACTTTTGGGATATCCAGTTTTATTTCGAACCTATCTTTTTCTGACTAGGGCATCATCCAAACCCGCCCCAGCCCTGGGTCCAGCAGCGCTTGGTTGCAGCATCGCCCAGGTCAAACGCTCGGGAGCCTTCAAAAAGGCAGGCTTGAAAGAGCTGGACCAATTCGTTTCCAAGGCAAAGGCCAAACGGCCCCATGTCTTTCTAAGGAAGTAGCCCAATTCAAAATGGGTTGTTATCCGTTGAGTCTCTGGAGGATATGAAGTTCCAGTTAGTAGATGGATAATACCTCATCAAAATCGATTATAACTTGGCAACTTTATTCTATTATTGTATTTAGGGCCATCGGCCAACTATCCCCATGCGCTCCATGTTTGCCATCTCTCGTGTCTTGCCGCTGCCACAAGCTTGCGCGCCATGTTTGCCATCTCTCGTGTCTTGCCGCTGCCACAAGCATGCACGCTCTCGTGTCTTGCCGCTGCCACATGCACGCCATGTTTGCCATCTCTCGTGTCTTGCCGCTGCCACAAGCGTGGTCGTACAAAAAGACACGCCTGCCGTCAAACTCGTGGTCCGTCTTCAAAATTGCATCCTCTTGCCAGTGCTTGCAGCTGTCCAGGCGCTCTTATCTCAGGATCTTGTCTTCAAGAATTCAACTGACATGCATATGTTTTTTGGGCTTTACCCAAAACAAAATTGCTTTACCAAAAACAAAAATTACTGCAATGCCTCTGGAGATGAACTTCTCCTGGTGGATTATTTCATGTTTCTAAATGGATATATTCATGAAATCATGCTAATTTAGCCCCTTTGAATCCACAATTGCCCCTGATATGAGCAAATTTATCATTTTAATTCTCGGGTTGCCAGATAAAATGTCAGATAGAATATATGCCAGATAGAATGCCAGAAGATTTGCCAGATAGAATGCCATAATATATGCCAGAACATAAGATATGCCAGATAGAATGCCAGATAGAATGCCAGAAGATATGTCAGATAGAATGCCAGAAGATTTGCCAGATAGAATGCCAGAATATATGCCAGAAGATATGCCAGAACATATGCCAGAATAGATATGCCAGGTAGAATGCCAGAAGATATGCCAGAAGATATGTCAGATAGAATGCCAGAAGATTTGCCAGTAAGAAAATTGTATAAATGTCATGGTAGAGATCATTCGAAGTGAAGTATTTTTTATTCCAAGGGCACCTGTACCAATTCCAATACCAAGAAATGCTTAAATCATAGAATTCGAGAAATTAATTCTTGGTTGAACCCACCAAAACCTGGTTTTAACTCCAATGGCCACTATATTGGTTGCAAACACAACTTAAAACATATATTAACCCCAAATTAAATCTAAATTGTTCCCATTAGCCCCTTATCCCATCCAATCTTTTCAGATTAAAACCACAATGTGGAAAATTTGGGCAAGAGCCTCGCTTGTGGCATCCCTGCCACAAATCTTCTGGATTCCGCTGGCCTTTCCAGCGGGAATGCGGCCAAAGCTGTGTTAGGGGAGGTCCCTCAATTTTTTGGGAAAATCTGGTAGCGTGAAGTACCCGTGAAGTTTGCGTGAAGTACCATGTTTACCCGTGAAATACCATGTTTACCCGTGAAGTTTGCGTGAAGTTGGGGTAACATTTTTTTGAAAAAAACAACTTTTTTTTACCACACATCTCCAAATATGGTTTTCTGAAGTTTTCTGGTTGTGGGATATCACCTCTGACCAGCTCTGGCATGTTCCAAATCAATGCTGAAGCCAAACTTGGCTTTAATTTGTGGGGGAAAAAGGTACTGGCTGCATTTTGGAAGCAACAAATGGTTTGTTCACCTGAAATTGCCTGAAATTGAACCAACTTGCAGTGCACAAGTAATAGCTACATGAGATCTATGGGTCTTCCCGCAGCCATTTTGGTAGGAACCGGCCCAGTTGAACAGAAATGGAGGATCTTAGTGCTTTCCTTCAGCAGGCGAAGGATAGGAAGCAGGCTTTAGAAAACAAAACATCACAGCCTGCGTCCTGTCCGGGTGCTGGACAGATTGACCGTGCTAAGACCCTTATTTTGGGTGAGTGGGGCTGGCATACTTTGCAAATCCGGGTGATGGGAGAAATTTATCTTGGGGAAATGATATCAAGATATCAATTCACTCAAGATTGCTTGGGATTCCTACTATAGATATAATTGAAAAGTCATTTGCCTATATTTCACCTCATGATTAGACAACCAACCATCAATACATTGTAAGCCTATAGCATACTTTTGGGGTGATTTAAACAAATCCTAGGAAATTTAACCCATTGCCAGGACAATCGAAGATCAAGAACCGCAAGAACCACAAGGACCACAAGGACCACAAGGACCACAAGAGAAACCAGGCTTCACCAATGATGGGACCCCCAAAATTGTTGGATCTTGGGATTTAAATTTTGTGGCCATCCCCTAATACTGTTCTGTTTTGGCATGCCCTGGTTCTACACACTCACTTCAGCACCTATAATATGGATCTCCAGGTGCAGCATTGCAGGTTTTGTTTTTTTCGGGTCCCAAAATATACTTACTATTTGTAAGAGGAATGACCCTACAAGGTGGTGCCCCCCAAGTTATAAGTTGGTTTATAATCCCATTAACTATATTAGATATATCTACCATAAGTCCTAGTTATTAGAGTTATAAACCAACTTAGCTATCTTGGGGGCACCACCTTGTAAAGTCCTCACGGCCCACAAACAAATATCAACTACCTGCAGGCCCAAAGATCCCAAACTTTATTGAATTTGTTTATGTTGAAATCTCTCTCACTCTATCCATTGCCATTCCAACATAAATAAGGTCGGGTATTCAATACACCGGTGATTGTATATTAAAGACATGACCTGAAGGTACTCAAAGGTACTCAAAGGTACTCAAAGCCTACATATGTAGTGCCCATTAAGCCCATGTACTCTCGGGATCCCTCAATTTGGTTAATATTCGATGTGTTTGAATTCAATGTTTTGATATTATATGGGACCAAACAGGACCTAATATGGGACATTCAATATACATGCAAAGGGGAAATGAAAATCCACAAGAATTGATCTTCGAAAAATCTTAATCCATACAATCCAATGTTGGGTTCTGGAGGTTGCAAGCGAAAAGTCATCAAAGTGAGAAAGGTCATAAAGAAGAAGAAATCGTCACCGGCAGGGGAAAGGGAGTCATCCAGTGAACCTATCCCCACCACTCCAGCCGCCAGTGTTGCCTCTACAAGGCTCAGTTCCCCATCGTCGACAGCGACTCCTTCGCAAGAGGACTACTACCAGGGAAGTTGGTCCCAGTGGCGAAATGAGCCCGAATATGAAGGACAATGGGATAAGTGGCAATGGCCACCGGCAGGATGGAGGCCCAGTCGGTTTCACGAGGCTTTCTATGATCAATCCTCCCAATACTATCGGTATAACACATTTGACTGGGACACATGGGATCGAGAGCAAAAGACTATTGACCTTTGGGGGACACCAACTGAAGCTGCCCCCACAACACCGCATGCTCCAACCAAGTCTGGGGAACCAATCTCGCAACTGAGCAGGGGATCAAGTGAAGTAAGTTTAGTGAGGCAGCAGCTTCAGCGTTGTTCTACGTCTGACCAGCTTGCAGCCAACCTTCAGAATCGGTTGGATGAGGCAGAAGGTGACACCAAAAGGAAGCAAAAACAACGACTAAGGTTCCAGACAAACAGGAAGGCCAAGAGTCAACAAAACATTGCAAGATCCCCGAAGAGAAAGCTAAGCAAGGCAAGGAGGCTGACCAGACCCCCACTCCCGAGGAGAAAGCTGAGGAAAGCAAGGAGGCTGATAAGACAGCCACTCCCAACCAGAAGGTTGACATGAAGGATGCTGACCAGACCCCCACTCCCGAGGAGAAAGCTGAGGAAAGCAAGGAGGCTGACAAGACACCCACTCCTGACCAGAAGGTTGATCAAACCCCCACTCCCAACCAGAAGGTTGAACAAAAGGAGGCTGACCAGACCCCCACTCCCGAGGAGAAAGCTGAGGAAAGCAAGGAGGTTGAAAAGACCACCATTCCCGACCAGAAGGTTGAAAGCAAGGACACTGACAAGACAAAGATTCCCGAGGAGAAAGCTGAGGAAAGCAAGGAGGTTGAAAAGACCACCATTCCCGACCAGAAGGTTGAAAGCAAGGACACTGACAAGACAAAGATTCCCGAGGAGAAAGTTCTGGAAAGTAAGGAGGCCGACAAGACCCCCACTCCCCAGCAGAAAGTTACCCCTCCCGAGGAGAAGGTGACAGGAACCAATGCTGAGAAGACTGCCAATTCAAACGAGGTTAAGAAAAGCAGCACCCCTGAGGAGAAGGCAACAGGAGCTGAGAAGACCAGCAATTCACAGGAGCAGGCGTCAGGAAGCAACCCCGAAAAGAAGGAGGAGAAGGCCGGAAGCCCAAAGGAAGAACAAGACACAAAAAGGAAACAAGAGAGCGAACTCAGCAATGGTAAGAGTAAGGAAGCACGAGTTGAAGGACAACAAAAATTAGCAAAGAAAGAAGGCGAAGGAAAAGAAGTCGACCAAGCAGAGCACGAGGAGACACCAGAGGAAAAGGCAAAAAGAGAAGCGCTGGAATTGAAGCGCAAAGCAGCTCATGCCAGGTACATGAGATACTTCAGGTCCATCAGGAGTCCCGCCCTCAATACCAAGTTCCCCAACTATCCACAAATTCAAGTCTTTTAACGGATCACCTTGCACTCCAATCATCCTATATAAACGAAACAATGGAGGTGGTTGGGTATGTGTAATTTCGAAAGTTCTTTGCAGCAAATGTTTCCTGTTTCAAACTTACTTCAAATCTTTTAGACCCCGACTGATTTTGCTTTGGCCAACTCAACTAAGACCCGTCGACTCCTATCGAATTGAGAAAAATGGCACACGAGGCACATGGAAGTACCTTGTTTTAGTAGCAGGGGGGCAGGGGTTGGTCTGCATGTGGGGTTACATGGGCTAGCCATATTCTCTACTGCAACATCCGCTCGGCCAAGCTAAGGCAAAGGGTTGAATTCTGTGCTGTACGAAGCATGGAGTTCTTGTGGGGAAGGGCAGTGGCAGACTTCGAAGTTCTACTTGAGCATCAGGGAGAGACATCAGTCCCGCCGCAGGGGAACCAGGAAGTGGTTGATGCGATGGGAACTGGAAGGAAAGTTTGGCAATGTCATTGCTGACCAAATTATCACCCGCAAAGAAATGGACCAGGAACTTGCCAAAGCTGAAGTTCGATATCACCCAGAGTTGCCGGAAGAAGAGGTTCGCTAGCTAGCCCTGTATGTAAATTATTTCGAACCCGATTCTTTTCATACCACAAGTATTTAGGCTCACCATGAATCTATTGTTCCAGGCAACAAAGCAGTATTTGACCTTGGTTGAAGACTGCGAAGAAGAAGAGCACATGGAAGAAATTGACCGGTTGTTCAGTGCACTTGACAAAGACAGCAGCAGCAGCTCAAGCAGCTCTAGCTCGTCCAAGAAAAAGAAGAAGAACAAGAAGTCAAGCAAGGACGACTTTATCGAAACATCTCCTTTTGGTCAAATAAAAGTGTTCTACAATCATTGCACGCACATGACTAGTTTATGCACTTTTAGCTGGTGAAGGACCACCCGAAGAAAGAGAAGAAAGATCCCCCCAACAAGGAACCGGCCAAAGACAAGAGCAAGAAAAGCAAGAAAGAAAAGAAGGTCAAAGCTGAGAAGGCTCCCAAGGAAAAGGATGAGCAGAAAGAACAGGTCAAGCAAGCTAAGAAGGCTGGATTTACACAATGATTGGTTCTGTCCAATTTTATTGCATTTCTTTTAGGATTGATCAGCCTGTCATCTAGGCAGTGAATGATGCAAGCACCAAACTGAAATGGGCAAATTCTTTGGTCCCCAACTTGGAAAGCATGTGAGGCACCTAGAGGAAGAATCTGTGTGCAAATTTCAAAGCTTGCAAAACCAACGGGCCATGTTATGTAGATAATCTTGGGCTATGCGAGTTTCAGCATTTTTCCCAAGGAGCGACAAGTACAAGGAGTCTGTGAAGATTGATGTAACGGAGAAGAAAACAAACTTGGAGGCATGCATGTGTTGTGTTGGAATCAAGCTGGTGTTCATTCTTCAGTTTAAAAAAGTAAACTAAGTAAACCTGCTTCATTCATGCACTATGGACAGGACACGCGTGGAAAACTCCAAGCCGCCCTCGATTCCGGGGAGGCCCCTCACCTCACATGTTTTGAATAAGATATGCATGAATGCATATGTTTTGTTTGTACCAGGCCCAGTTGAGCACATAGTGTTCCCAACATTTCTCAACCAACCCCATTGCTTGCCAGGTGACATCTGAGTTAATCCGGCAGTGTGATGAGGCAAAGAAAGGCTTAGAGACCGCGTGCGAGCCCTTGAAGAAGAAACCCAAAAAGGCATGAGTAATGACAAATACACCACACACGTGGGATCTATCTACAGTGCTGGTTTCGTTTTGCAGTTCTTCAAAGTTGCAGCTGGTGGCTACTTTGCATTTTTTTGGGATGATTTTTGTAGATTTGAATTTCAAAGTTTTTATATCAATATTTCATTCTGTTCCTCACGCTGTCCTCATGTATGTGCAAAGCTGCCAGCAATAGCAAAGAGAGTCGATAGGCACCCTTGTGCTATTCCTTTGAAAGGGAAACAACCTCAGGTTGTGTGGGTCTAAGGATGGCCCAGCGGTGCATAGATCCTCTCGGCATGCTGCGTTGTCATGATCCAACGTGTTATGGTGGTTGAACCATGTTGAACTTCAAAAGAATGGGTTTTTGAACTTTATTCTAATATGGTATGAACAGCACAAGTTGTTCGATTTTGTTGAGAACCTCGTGCTTGCGATACATGGCGGCAGCAGCAGCAATCCCCATTTAGAAACCCAGCGCGACACTAAACCTAGACCTGGAGTGAGAGACGAGGCTTGAAAAAAAGAACCGATTTTATCGTGACACAAAGCGAATACACATGCAATCAGTTAGTACCAAACAGCCTGGGAATCATAATTTTGATTTGGTTAGTATTATTACTATATATGTCGACAGTATACAGCTATGCTACTATCATGTCAATAAAATCCCATCGCAGGTGCTGATGATGAGGGCGCTGGTCCTTTTGAAAGGGACATCACTGAAAGAATGGCTTCGGGAGATTCTTTGATGCATTGATGACTGGATAAGTTGTTGAAGATCTGTTTTTCTTGGAACAATGTTCTAGGTTCACAGTTGTCTTTTTGCCGAAATGTTTTAAACATAAATTTTGAAACATTTCTAATCATAATTTTTGAGACATTCAAAATGTATGAATATACCGAAGGGAAGCAGAAGGGGATTGGAGAGTTTGCTGTCAGCTCAGGGCACAAGTGCTGAATCTGCCATGAGATCAGCTAGAGCAACGCACGCTGATGCTCTGGTTTCAAGAGAAATAGTTTTTGTTGATAATGTTCCTTAAATTTATGTTTGGGTATGTAGTTCGAACTAGCTACATCATGTTTAACAGATTTTCTCCTCATTGTTACCAAGTAAGGAATCCGGTGGCATTTCCAGACCATGGACTGCCAAACTTGCGGGATACACTGGATCATCAAACCGAGCGAGAGACTTTTTCCGCACCACAGAGGTGCCCTTGGATCCTACTTTAGATTTAGCACATTTTACTGTAGCACCATTAATATGAGAACATTATGAAGATTTAGGGATACCATGATTTTGTGATTTTCAATGTTAAGCGAATCCTTGGAATCGAGGAACCTACGAAAATCAAGATCCCCATCAAATTCCCTGACGATTCAATTTCTGATGTTGTCATGCCCATGCAGCTGCCACTTGATATCTTGAAATACTTGCTCACTGAGTGTGGCTTGTGTATTGATGATAGAACAGTTTCTGCCTATTGGCAACACTTGGACTCTGTTGGGGAACCAGTGGCTATGAAAACAAAGGGGTTCCGAGAAGCAGCATCAATGCCTGTATGGCCACTCGGGCTTTACGGTGATGATTGCGTTATGGGTCTGGTGACTTCTCCTTACAGCAAAATGCTGGGGATCTTTATGTCACTACCGCTCTACAGACCGACCTCAGTACGCATGTCTCGCTATCTCATTTTCTCCATTGAGGTGGACAAGATTGTTTCGGTTACTGAAACATTGTACCCAGTGTTTGAAAGGATAGTTGCTTCAGTGAATGAACTAGTTGAATCTGGCATCAATGGTCGACAATTTCTCTTGACAGAAATTCGGGGTGATCAATCCTTTTTTCGTATGATCTTCCGCTATCGAAGCTGGTGGAAGCACCGAAATATTTGCTACAAATGCTGTGCTACTACAGACCAGAACCCAGTCAACTACTTGCTCTACAACACAGACAATGGTTGGGAATCTACTGTTCGCTCCACTGAGCAATTTATTCTTGAGGAACTCGAACTTCCAATGTGCAGCTTGGCTGTTTAATTGATTGTTGATGTCAATAAAGAATACCAGTAACATAGGGGGTCATCACCCGAAATATGATGTGAAATTATTGAATCCGCTAAGCAGTTTGATGTTGGTAGCCTCCAAACAAAATAGACTTTGTTTCTTAAAAAACAAACGTTCCCACTAAAACTTATGCCTTCGGTTTGTGCTCCCAAAGGTCCTTTGGTGGACATTTACTTCTTTGATGTGGAGATGTTGAAACATTGCACATTACATGTGCTAAATCTGGGACTCCTTGGAGTTTCCAATGGTTCAGCCCTGCCGCTCGGACCAGAACCAGTCCTTGTAGTTGTGCATGTAGAGACAGCCTTCTTTCGTGTCTTTCGCCGGACTGCATGCCATTTCGCACTGGGGGAACCCTGGGACAGTGTTGCTCCTGGATTCAAAGCACTATCCTGAAAGTTCATATGCCATATACAAATGGGATAAATCCAGAAAATGGCTTTCGTCGAGGTACAGGATTGGAAAATGGCTTGAGTTCTATCCCAAATACTTCCTCCAACTTGGGAAAAAGGTTGGAGGAGTAGGAGTTGATAAGGTTGTAGGTCATCCACCATATGTAGCACATGCAAGCCCCAGTGACCAACCACTTGGGTGTCAATCTACATCATCCCAACTAGGGCTGTATAATTAATATTAAAACTTAGGTATGTTCAGCTCACTACTTTGTACCAAATTTAGGATGCTTCCCTACTTAGTCTTTACTTGTTTACCCAAAGAAAAGGAATTTGGAACTCATCCAACCAGCTCTCTGAATCCAAGGGGAATGATGATGGAGATGCATGTCTTTGGTGACATTTCGAATGGCCTACATATGCCACTCCAGAGAGCATATGATTCTTTCAAGTCATTCTGCAGGGCACACAAGATTTTGACGTCACAGAAGCACTGGGCTGTTCGGCAGTTGGTACGGGATGGCTATGGATACTATCTCAACTGCAAAGGCTTCAATTCCAGAGTAATCAGCGAATGGTTACTGAACAAACTTCAAGATGTCAACCGACACCCAGATCAATACCCTGACCTTATTCAAGATGAAAGGGCCCAAATGTGCGAGACTGCTTTGATGCTTACCAAAAAAAGTATATTTTGGGCCTTTGTTCCCCACCTGCCAGGTGAGGGTTGCTAGATTTTAACAGAGCTCTTCTCCTCCTCCTCCTCGCAGTGGGCACTGCCGGACCTCAACGGGAAGAATGTCAGAAAAGATGTCAGATAGAATGTCAGAAGATCTGCCAGATAGAATGCCAGAAAGAATGTCAGAAAGAATGTCAGAAGGTATGCCAGATAAAGTGCCAGAATGTTTGCCAGATAGAATGCCAGATAGGATGCCAGAAGATATGCCAGAATTGCCAGAAGATATGCCAGAACATATGCCAGAAGATATGCCAGGTAGAATGCCAGAAGATATGCCAGATAGAATGCCATATATAAGATATGTCAGATAGAATGCCAACATTTTAAAATGTATAAATGTCATGGTGGGGATCACACGAAGTAAAGTAATATGTATAATATTTATTCTTACCACAATACTATCAGAGTTCAAACCCTCTCCTTACAAACAAATTCAACCACCTTGCCATCAGCTTGGCATCGGATTTTTGGGATTTCACATGATGCCACTAAGCTATAATGTTAAAATGTCCTCGGCCCAGGAGTGGTATCAATCGATACTTCGGATTGACAGAGCGCGCCTCCAGAATCTTGAAGCTCTTCACCATTGCTGCGCTGGGGCAATTGGCGGATGGGAGTTGCTTACCCCTTAAAGAATAAAATAGATTTATAGCACTATTTTGCAGGATTTGATTTTTAAATCTTTTGTGGGATTACTAGAGGAGATACGATAGTCACTTACCCTGGCACTTCAACTATTATACCTTTAGAAAAACTCAAATCCTTAGTTTCCCTACCACTTTTCGATCATGTTTGACGGTTTGACCCATATCCATTCTCTTCACCAAGAGTTCATTCGTGGCATTGGCAACATATGGTCGATGCCCGCCACCGTGCACGTCTCAAAGTTATGCTCCTTTGGCAAACAGCATCGGACTTGATATAGCGCTTCAACCACTCTGGCCTTCCAAATGCGATGTCACCACCAGCACAGCGCAAACCCAGTTTTTTCATCGTAGTGGAGGTCCCAGAATGATGAATCTATCAGAGAGATAAAGAGCTTGTTTTGGAAACTTAGTATTCTGGGGGTTACCCAGTTACCCAAATGGAAACTAACATCTTAAACATTTTGAATGGGGGGCCATCAAGGACTCCAGCCCAAGCACGAGATATTGAACACAGTGGCAAAACATATTTGCTGGCGTATCTCCGATTGAACAGAACGAGTATCAGGACCTGGGGCATATTCGTTTTTCAAATTTCGTTGCGTTTGATAGAAACTTTGTGCTTGATGTCTTGAAATGTCAGCCATGGAGGATGAAGCGGCTTTCTTGGGTAGCCATTCCGAAGTGGCATGTAACCTATCACAGATTTAACATTGCATTTCTTGTTTCTCTTGGTTGCCCACCACAAAAGAAACCTGGTTTATCAACTATTGGTTTGTCAAACATTTGACCTGACCAGCTTAGGCACTAGCACACTTGTTGCGCCAAACGGTGCGCCGCTTTAGATACTAAGCTGCATGTGTTCACCCCCTTTTCAAATCGGGACTCACCTCACAGGAATTTACCAGTTGGAACTTTGCATACAACTCAGGACTGAATCCTCGTTTTCAACATACTTTTGTTGATGAGGATCAAATGGGTGTCTTGAAACGAAGCTGGCCCAGGAATATTTATTTTCTTTAAACTCAAGATTGGGAGGAAACAACCCAAAATCAATATTACATTTCGCTTTATCAGTGTGTCTTACTGCTAAGGATGGTCTCAAAGGAGCGTGACTGCCAAGCGAGAATTGACGGTCATGCGGTTTGCCCGACTCCGCTACAAAACACTGAAGTGGCGCATCAAACAACTCAGAAATAAGCGATGAAAAAACTGGGTCTGCGCTGTGCTGGTGGTGACTGATTGTGACCAAATTTCTGCAATTTGGGAATGTTGATGTTTGACCTGGTTAAACATCGCATTTGTTGAAGTGCCAGAGTAAACATCGTATGTCAACAAATACTAAGTTAAACATCGCATTTGGAAGGCTAGGGTATAATTATATTATTATATGATATTATATGTATAGATGTATATATATATATATATGATTGTACATGGAGGTTTCCTAAAATGGAGCCCCCCCCACATGATCCAAACTTAGAGCATTTTAGTATTGAAAGCCGTGGTTAACTGGGGTAAACCTCCACATCGGTACTTGGGTCATCAGCTACATGGCTGTATCTGGGAAATCCCCGAACTGACTAGGAATATCATCGAACTATATAACCCATGACGGATCCATGGTGCTGGTATATATGCTAACATAACTGGGGATAACTGGGGTATATTGATGGGATCCATGTTGCCATATATAGCAGCACCATGGATCCTATGGGTAAATGGTGGATTTTCCAGCAAACCGCGTTTGATTACCAGAGGGTAGAACTGAGAAGCGACAAAATTTGTGTGTTTGCAGTGAAAATTACATAACCTTCAAACGTGAGGAATATGATAAAGTACTCAAAACTACCCTAAATGTTGGTAGATTGATGGGGAACACTGGGCCTTGATGGTTGTACTAATTATATTTATATAAGTGTACTCATTATGTTTGTTGTTTTTGTCAAGTCCCCTTTTATCTTTAACTTTGGTCTGTAATAGACTTGACAGTTGCAATCTCCATTTTGGTGAGCAGTTGTACTAATTATGTTTGTCGATTTTTCCAAAATGGGGATTGCACCATTGCAATTCCAAATTTTGATCGCATCTTTTTCAGTCATTTCTTCCTACTCCATCATATTTGAACAACGCACCGGTTTCCAGATTTTTGATCCATACGATGCGGCCCTCCTCCAGTTATGCTTTGATATGGTGTATATATATATATATAATATCAACATATATCCACATACATCTACCATAAACACGTGAATTTAGGCATGTTACATAAACCAACCTTCATATAGCTATCATAAAATCATCATATATTCCAAGTATTTTCTTGCTGATAAATCATGTCAATCCATTTTTTCTTCCTGGATCAAAAAAAACAAAACATTGGGAGGTTTGTACCTTCTCTTACTGGTGCCTGGTTCGGTTTTGGGTAATGGGATAATTCTTAATACTTATTATGTATCCCAAATAGGGAATAATTGTGCATATAGCCAATAGTTCAAATTAATTGTGAATAGCCGCCCACATTAGTTAATGCTAAAAATAACATAAACACTGACTATTAGCATTAACTATGAACAGTTGATATGAACTGTTAACTATATTCACAATTATTCCCTATTTTGGTATCCACAAGAACTATGAACAGTCATCATCAACCATCCCATTCCCCCATTCCCTACCAAGCACCAGTAAGCAATGATTTTTGTGAGTAGTTCATACAAGGTGGTGCCCCATAGTTAAGGTGGTTTATAACTCCAATAACTATGGTTTATGGTAGATACATCTATATTTCTACACAATTCCTATGGTTTATGTTTTTTCACCAACAGCTAGATATATCTATAACTATGGTAGATATATCTAACTATAACTCCAACAACTATGGTAGTTACTATGGTTTATATCCATAACTGGGGGGGCACCACCATAGTTCTTTCGGGAGCTCCCAGTGAACCGCAGGGACCGCCGCAGGACCAGGTGGGCGAGTGGATCTGCCTTCGCTTCCGACGGTCCGCCCTGCTGCGACTGGGGATCATCACCAAGGACGAACAGGTGGGTTGGCTGACGGCGGTCCCTTAAGAAGCCAACCGGCTACCCATAGGTGATGAGTTGTAACACCTAAATGATGGGAAATGTATAAATTACAAGCCTATTTAATGGGATATAGGATGAAATAAATTGGGGATACCCTCTGGCAAACTAACAGTTTGCTATTGAAGCCATGGCCATGGCGAAATAGTTGATTTACCCATTAAACATGGTGATTTTCCATAGTTATGGAGCAGTTTACCAGAGGGTATTTCTCAGTTGGATAAACCATTGAGTTCTATTTAGATACATAATTTTGAGTGATACCTTGGGTTGGCCACCTTTCCCTACTTTTTCGTTAAAAACGGGGGGTTCAAGTTGTACCTCCAACTGCGCGCAGGCCAAGCCCGTTGGGGAGAAAGGCGTGGATGCAAAGGCAGCGGCTTTTGTCTGCTCCTCGACGTGGGCAGCGGCTGTTGTATCTGAAAGCTCTAGGAATTTTCCTGGATAGTTTATGACACCGTGGCACCATATGTATATATATATTTATATAACATATGCTATATATATAACATATATATATAACCTTTATATATAACATATATATATATACAACATATATATATATACACAAACATATATATATATAATATTATATTATGTATGTGTATCTATGTTTTTTAAAGTGTATTTATAGATCTTGAGACCTTTGAATGTCCTTGGCACCAGGCTTGCTTATATGTTTGATTTTTGCACAAGAGGTATGCGAACTTGAAGACGAAAGCAGTAGGTCTTTGCTTCTGCAGACAAAACCAGAAAAGAGGGGTTGGTATAGTACATGTGCACGCATAGGTTGGAAACACTGCGATTTTGGGATGATGTGCATAATTCATCGTCAATGATGTACCGTCTTGTTTTAGAATCATTCACCATCCACTTTTCTGAAGTATGTACATACTATTGCAGACAGCTGCCAACATATTGTCGATCGCATTCAGACGGCTTATGCATGCTATCCCAGCGTCCACTTTCTGCCAGATGTTTCGCAAGTGTGGAAGTTCCTGGGAGAGAAATGTAATGAACTCAATGATGAACCAATGCACTACTGAGTCTTATATACCTGTTTTTTTTTACCTTAAAATGTGATAGAAAACCTGGGAAGGGTTATTTTTTGATATTTTGTGATACTAAGAAATTACAGCAGCAGCTTAGACTTAGATGGGCTACCTACTTGGCTTGGGATCTTCTCCGATTCTAAGGGCCACATGTCTTCGGTGGCATCCCTCCTCAGGTGGGAACGGCGCCGCCCCATGGTGGTTACCATTGGTTCAACGACAGTTTTTGAAGAAACAGCTGAAAAAAAAAACAAGACCATCAAACATCATCAAACATCATCAAACCATCTAAAATCTCCATAAATCTCCATAAATCTCATCCCAAAGCCATCCGAGTCTCACTTTCTTTGGTCGAAAAAAGTGGTTGATCAAACTTCTGGGACCTGCCAGGTGGTGGAAGAGGTGTTCCCCATGGAACGTCAAGGAACCGTAGCTCGGCGTGCTGGGAAAAGGAGGTGCTGTTCTGGCCCTTGGCCCCGAAAAAATGATGGGGATATCATAAGGATATGATGATTACATGCGATTACCCCTCTAGTAATCAAGCATGGATAGCTGGAACATCACCCATTTATATTATATAGTTCCATGATTTTCCCATTAAGATACCCACTTCTAAGGGACATCTTTGATCATCTTTGACTACCGGACAGTACATAACTACAGTTAACATGCCATTTCTTGGGGTCGCCTGCATGTTCAGCTTCAAAAGGTGCTTGCCTGACATTTTGTGAAGGTTTGATATCTTCAAGGCATAATTTAACAAGTTGCAATCGGAAATTCATGTTCCAGAGCCTCATTGTTCGCAGTTTGATGTCTGCTTTCAGGGTGTAGTTGGGATCTTCTTCCCCACTCAAAACCAACCCTTCTGGAGATGAAACATTAAATTCAAATTCAGGCAGAAATCCGCTTGTGTTGAAATCCTCTTGTGTTTATTGCACTTGCTCGTGTAAGTGGAATGAAGCTCCCAATATGCCATGGAGACACAGTCAGTGCAAACTGATAGGAAGATCTTAGCTCGGAAAAAGTTGTCTCAAAGCATTTGTTTGGGCTTCAGCACACACAGGAATGTATACCTTCAACACAATGTCTTGTGTTTTGGTAGGAATTTGTTGAGCCATTCCCAGGTACCTTTTGATGACTGGTGGATGTTGTCCCCCCTACAGTTGGGTGATGTTTAAATCCGAACACTGGAAGGACATGTGCAGGAAATCCATGAAAAATCCCTAATACATGGCTATATGAGCTATGGTCAATACTCATGGTTAATAACCATTAATAGGGGCTAGTCATCCAATGGTTTATAGGGATTTATAATAACCATTATAAGGATCCTTATTATGGATGGGATGACCATCAACCATATAGTGAGTATTGACCATGGCTCATATGTGTTTCCATTAATAAGAATCCCTTCAATCAATCCATGAATAGTAAATATGAGGCATTTGGAAATCCTTGAACAACAACATCCATCAAGTCACATGTAGAATAATGGTGTATCATAAGTTCAATTGTGGTAAGTTACTTGATGGTATATCTATATCTATATCAACAACATTTCCCCAGCTCCAATCTGCCTTTTCGGCTCCACGCTTTTTGCACGAGGCCTTTGTTGGAATTTTGGGTCTCACCAAGTTGAAGCGTGCAGCTTGGCATGGCACTGGCAAGGTCTGGAAAGGTCAAAGATATATACCTCATGTTGATACATATATATATAAAATAGATATATTATAGGATGGGATAGATATGTATAATTATGGAATATTATAAGTTATACATGTCATATGATGATATAGACATGTATAAATCATGGTAATAAATTGGTGCAAATTCTTGAAGTTCTACCCCTGATGTCCCCTGACATCCATGGAAATTGAAGGTTGGAAGATGATTTGCGACTGGATATGGGAATTGCCCGACTTGATGCAAAGTCTTGTTGGAATATGGCCCTTCATTTGTGAGTGCCAAATGGCTCCAATTGGCCAAATTGATCGTACAGACTGGTGATTTTGGTGGAGGTGTTGTTTTTGGATGATCGGTTCATGCTGACACGCTTCGGTGTCACTAGCATGAAAAGAAACTGGTGATGCAAGGATCCTACGTTTCCCCGTTACATGCTTCCCATTCTAGAATTGACCATGGAGGTTCGGATGTTTCTTCAACATCCTTGAACTTGGGATCCCATGCGGTATCAGAATTAAACGTGCCAAAATCATCCAAAACCTGGTTTTCTGATGTTTTCTGATGGTTTTTGCAGGTTAAAAAACAAGTCCACTTTTTGTTGCGTCCCAAGGTGTGAAGTCCCATGCTGCCTTCGTGACTATGCACTAAATTCAGGGATGTGACCAACAAGATATAGCCAGAGTTTATCGTACTTTACATGATAAAATGAACCTTTAAACATCTTTATACATGATCTAGAATGTAGTCTATTCCTAGAAGACGTCAACAGACCTTTTGGTAAATCAGACAATCCCACCTTCCGCAGCAAGGTCTTCAAGCTCGCCACTAGCTCGGAAGTGCAACGGCCCAGCCGGCAACGCTTGAAGTTTCCATGTGGATCCATTGAGCTGGATAATAAAGTCGAAATATGATATAATAGCTGTAATGACTATAACTAAAAATGGTGACATTTCATGGAGATCTAAAACTGAAGTGGAACTATTGGGTGATGTCAACATGTCTGGAGAAACTATAGCGGCTTCACATCGCGACGTCACGACATAGATGATGGTGAGGACTGGGAAGTTGTTGTTTTGATCATCCATAGTCTTCTCAAATTCTATGCAAACCTCTTGAACCCTCCACTTATTTATAATATATTTGCATAATTAAAATTATATTTGTTCTTTATTTTAAACATATTAAACTATGTTAACATATTGAAGAATGAGCAGAATGTTAATGTCAATGTTGTCATGTTCATTCCTACGTTTATTATTGTTTAATTGATTTGACTGTACTTTTCTTAAAAAATGTTCTTGACAATGATAACAACATCATCATGTCTTATTCTCAGATGATCTGCACACCTCAGCAGACCCTGGAAACCTCCAGCAAACTCATATAGCTATGGTATAGATGGCCCATTTATTTCGATGATTTACATCTTATAAAAGCCTGGTGATACGTTCCAAAGCTTTTTTCAACACATGACCAGAGGGTATATATATATATGAATAGATGTTTTTTTTATGTATTTTTCCCCATATTATATTCCATGATTCACCAGTGTTTAACACTAAGAATCCCCATGTTTTTTGCGGTTTAAAGCACCATGGAATTCCCATTCGAATTCCCGGTCCGATTTTCGGGGCAAGTCCTCAGATTTTCTGGGCCAGGTTTAAAGGGCAGAGACGCGTCTGCTCGGACTTGGACCAGAAGGCGCCGCGGCCGCGCCGCAGCTCACGGGGCTCGCGGCTGGGGACGGAGGGCGGCCCCTGGTGGTGAAACCAAGGGCAGATATCGGGGCAGCGAGTTTTTTTTGGTTCCAAATGGGGATGGGGCACCTAGTGAACATCAAAATAGCTGGTAAATGGATGTTCATCCCCCTAAAAATGTATCTATGTAGGTATTGACCCATACCCAAATCAAACCCATAGGATCCATGGTGCTGGTATATATGCTAACATAAAGGGGGTATATTGATGGGATCCATGTTACCATATATACCATACATGGGTCCTATGGGAAATGTTCAAATTTGGGCTTAATTTTGACGAAGCCACCGAAAAACCCAGATGAGTTGGCGTGTGATCGGTTTGTACCATAGCAATCTGGTTGGTATATTTTGGGATAAAAGGGAAGGAACACAATTCCAAACTGCAACCGAGCAGGGCAAATGCAAGGAAATCCACAGAAGTGAATAAATCAAGGTAGACAATGTCGTTACCCAATTTGTGTGTCTTTAGTATATTGTTTGGTTTCATTTGGTGTCACTTATTTGACTTCCTTTATGTAAATACTGTCAACACCACCAACGCAAAACAACATGGACGACATTTGTCACCCAAGTTGTGTTCATGGTCATCCACCTTCGCACTGCATCAAATGCGTGAAAATCCCTGCCGTATGCACATATGTTTTTGAACAAGACAAGCATACCTCGAACCCAAATGATAGTAACTTTCAACGGAGTTTATCGTTTTGCATTGAAGGGTATCGGTTGATCCTGCACAATCATATTTGCATACGTTTGCCTGGATTTGCAGAGCCGTGGCTTCCAGTGGTACTGTACCATATTGAAATTCACAGCCGGTGCGCAAGCTGCACCGTGGGAAGGAATCAAAGAGCTTCAAGAGAGAAGGAATGCTTGAGAATATAAAGTCATGGTTCCTCTCTCTCAAACTGTCTTTGGATGATCTCCGAAACTAGGATCTACTGGAAAGGTGTCTTCTTTGTTGGATGAAATATGTCAGGTTCTGACATATTCCGTACTCTATTCATGCCAATTCCTACAAGCATTTTGCTAAGTTTTTTTTCGTTGAATCCATCACTTTAACACATTTCATTGGACGTCGTGTTTTTTTTTTTGCCTTTTGGTTGCTCAACTTCCCATTCTTTGCTGGTGAATTCTACGGCATTTTTGGTCAGTTTCCCGATCCAACAGGCTGGTGATTCCCAGGTGGTTTTTACGTGGATATAAAAACACCTGGTTTTTTTGTCGGGTTTATGGATGTTTTCATGGATGCTAATGGATGACGGTAGATCATCAGATTTATGGACGTTTATATGAATGTTTATGGATTATTGTTGATGGATGTTGATGGTAGGTACCCTCTGGTAATTTAACATAGCTATTGAAATAATATACCATTTATAGTTGATTTACCTATTCAAAATGGTGGATCTTTCAATAGCTATATAAACGTTTACCAGTGGGTAGATCATGGTAGATCATGGTAGATCTCTCCTTCGATGGGCCTTTAAAAAGAGACGCACCGAACATCAGATCGACGCTGGGCGGAGCCAGGACGGCTTCGTTCACCTCAGCGATTCTTCTGCAGCTCCCAATGTGGCGCGTATGTTTTTCGCCAATGTGGAGGTCAGCCCTGCTTAGCCGCGTTGGTGGTACCACCAGTGGAGCTGAAACAAACTGGTGAAACTGGTGAAATATATGGACAACATGGAGTTTTCGGTTTCATAGACATTTAAGTTGAGTTGCCAAGAAAATATTATGAATGGAACAAAAATAAACGTGGAGTTACCAACTGATTGGAACCATGGAACCCTGTTGAGTTGATTGTTTCAGCTGTTTTCATGGCTTAGTGACTTTAGTGGAAAGGAGATGATCCCTCATGAACTGACCTTCCCAATGGTGCACCAAAGTCTTTCCAAAGTTGGCTTGTAACCGGTTTAATTAGGGTTTCTGTTAGATACTGTTAGATATATCATGATATATCTGTAGTTAGGGATATAAACCACCAAAGAGACGGACAGGAGGATGGTACACTGTGTATACTGTGTGCACTTTAAATCTTTGTCAAAACATGTGAAGACCTTCCGAGCTTCAATGAAGGAATTGGTAAGGCTCAAGACATGTACTTGATTACTTGGAACCTTGCCATACCTTTCCTGTGGACTGAGGATTTGATGATCCTGGAAATTGATGCCGTCGCTTGGTCACCGTCACCTGGGGATCATTCTAGTCGCGCTAAAGTTGATGAGAAATCCCAATAACTCAGAGATTCACAGGGGATGAAGAGTTATACAATTTACCCTCTGGTAATTTGTTACATGGCTATTGAAAATGGCCATAGAAATAGTGGATTTTCCCATTAAAAATGGTGATTTTCCATAGCTATGTTAGTTTACCAGAGGGTATGATGACACACTTGCCAGTTTCTTGTTCCGGTGAAAGTGATTGGACAATTTGTTCAAGGCTGCGGCTTTTACAAGCCAAGTGGAGGATATCAAGTTTTTTGTTTTGTTTGAAAGCGTACCTTGCCCTGCAAAGTAAGCCAAATAATAGCAACAACACCAAGTATGTGCAGTTAAGAACCATGTTTATGGTTAGCTGGTTAGCGGTTCAGCCCAGCTGTGTCCATGGTTGGGAACAAGTCTGGAAGTTTTCCACAGTTCGAGGCCAAAAAAGATATGAACAGAAAGATGAAGGTAAAATGATGAAGAACCATGGGATTTTGGGGTAGCCTATTTTCAGACGAACCCATATTAGGTCCACTTTTGTGGTAGAATTTGCTGTACATTTCTATCATTCTGGGGGGTTGCGATATGTGTAAGTACTCGTAGATTCAAGGACCAAACATAGTAATCCCTGAATAAAAGATAGATATATATATTGGCGGAAGACTAAAGTAGTGGGAAGTGGAATTTGTGCGAAAACATTCAGAACCGATATAGGCAACCCACTTACCGATACCCTATTTTTGTACATAGCATGGAAGTACAAACCTTCACAAGCGGTAGGGGAGCACCCACTTTGGCCATGTCCATTGCGGGTAGGAAGTAATTTTGTCCGCCACTCATATCTAATCCACGAGGTGTCACCCTTCGTAGCCGCAGGTTTTGTGTCCCGTCCCAGGGTCCCAGATCCATCTCGTGTCCGTCAGGAAAAGATCCCGCAGCCAGCCAAATGGATCCAGGGAAAAATGACGGATCCTGAACCTTCTGCTGATGTGAGGCTGGGGATGGATAGCGGAAAAATATGGAAAAATATGGAAAAATATGGAAAAATGGCGGACTTCCCCGGGTGATTTATGGGTGAGCCAAATGAGGATTCACTGGCTTGGGGCTCTTAGGGATATTCATCATTCTTCAGCGAGATGTGGGACTATGTGGGAACCCCGAGGACGAACAACTCAAATTCTCCACAATGAGATAGCCTCTAGCAAGAGGGATCATATGTATATATATACAGTATGTGTATGGGTCCATATCATATACATTATATATTCATAGACATGGTCATGGTATGTGATGTGGACAGCTGTCCCCGAATACAATGCCAAACAAGAAGCTTCTAACTTGTGATGTGTCAGGCATTTTGTCGATGGCATTTTTCCCCACATCGTCACAAACTGCAACGACGAGCTCGTTCCAATGTAAGTCTCGATTTCTTGATGATAACATTTGCCATGTATGGATCCATGGTAATCCCATTGTTATGTCCCGAGAAAAAATCACCAATAATCATAAGAAACATAATCCCCCCAATAATCTAAAACACATCTAACAATCCGATGGGAATCTCAACAATCTCCTCATAGTAACCCTAAAATCCCGAAATATCGTTTTTTGGGTATGTATAATTCCCAATCCTATTCCCGTGGAATCCTACTATTAATCCCTCAACCATCCCATAAATCACTGGAGTTTTGGGCAACTTGTTGAGACCCTGCCGCCATAGGCAGCAGGCGCCCAGTGTGTCTTGGCTGTTGAATTTCCATCCATCGGATGTCTTACAGGAATGCCCGAGACAATTCCAAATCTCATCTCATCATTCTGAAATTCTGACAATGTGGGGCCCCCTAGATAACTAAGTTGGTTAACAAAAGGCCCAATAACTATAGTTATTTGCGTACCATAAACCATAGTGAAATTGGAGTGATGTGCACCAACTTAGTTATCCAACGGGGGCCCCAAATTCTGAGATTCTGTGATTCGATCGCAGGAAAGCCCCACAAAGATGACCCACCAACAACCACGTAACCATTTAGTGAGCTTAAGCACATTTGTTTAAACCATTTACTATTGGACAATCACGAAAAAAGTGAGGTCACCCCCATTGTTTGAAAAACACCGAAAAAAACACGAATTACTTGTCTACCATTAGATCATATTAGATCTATTGTCCCAAAATTAACGTTGACCCTGCCTTGACTCTGAGGTTGGAAGATTAGCTTTCACTGGAAAAAGTCCATGTTCAGGCTCTATGTTAATTTGGTAGAGAGTAAGTGGGTAGTAAGTGTGAATAATCAGCTTCGTATAGTCACAAATTAGGCATTCCAATTACTAATAATTGATTTATTGATATTGATTGTCTACGTTAATTGCGTGAATCCCCTGAATTCAACCATTTATGTGATTCCAATTACTATCTATAATATTTAATTATATTGATTTATATTTGTTCTCTATGTTATTCTCGTTTTCATCCCATTGATATGGGGTCGGTAGGTCATCTCCATTAGTACATCCCATTATATATCTCCACAATGTACCCATCCAACATTTTCCTATGTCAACCAATCCAAAATGTTCCCATCAAATATAATGTGGTAAACCCAAGAACAAAGCATCCCCATATATCATATCACATATATATATATATATATATTTATCCATATATTGGGATAATATATATATATACATATGTATTTTATAAATCTCACTGTCTATAATATACTATCATATATATATATATCCATATATTGGGATGTTATATATATACGTATTTTATAAAAATACTATCTATACTATACTATCATATATATATGGGGTCGGTAGGTCATCTCCATTAGTACATCCCATTATATATATATCCATAATTTACCCCCAGTACATATATATATACATACCCATCCAACATTTTCCCATGTCAGCAAATCCAAAATGTTCCCATCAAATATAATATGGTAAACCCAAGAACAAAGCATCCCCATATATCATATATCATGTCATATATATATATATATCCATATATTGGGATGACATATATATATATATATATGTTATATTTTTTCACTATAATTACTATACTACCATATATACATATATACTATATATATTATATATAATATATATATGCCATATTATCCAGAAAATCTCCATCCCCATGATCTCCTGGATCAGCGAGGTCATCCACTATTTGTTGCCTGAGGGCTGCGTTCACGTCTACGGCGACGCCACGAACGCCGAAAGCGGCGTGCCTTGGGAGGCAGTGGCGCGCTGCGAAGCTGTGCCATGGAAGGAGCCGGCAGGGACCTGTTGGGGGTGCGGCCAGACTCGAAATGGACATGGAAACCATGGAAAAATGATGGAAAAATGGTGATTTCACGAAGAAAAATATAGAAACATGGGGGATTTCAGAAGATTTGGCTGATTTATGATAGCTAAGTTGCTTGATCACTTGATTATATCTAGATACATCTATATACTTATATAAATGGGGTTTATGGTGGATTACACACTTAGATGACCTTAAGAAACAATGGATTCACACTAGGTGAGCAGTGTTCAAAGGCCCTGACCCTATTGGTTGATGATTGTAGGGGGTTATACTATCCAATATTATCCAATATATTGGGGGCTATCATAATCCATGAAATTGATATCCCGTTCATAACCAACCAGTATGATGGAATGACAGAGGGTTTTGAACACTCTTTGACTGATTTTTGATAATCAGTATACATATATCAAGTATAGCAATAGAGTACAATGATAGCTAGGACAATATCATTTTGATGGACATACTATACTCACGGGAAAATCAGCAGCAAAACAATGTGAAGTTCAGCGACGGCATGTTTGATACATTTTACCAACAGATAATGGGGAAAGGATGCAAACTATCCAGCAAATAGTATGGGCCTAAGCAGACAAATATATTGGGATTTCGCAAAAACAATTTATGTTATTGGTATAGACAATCTGATTATGATGGATAGATATTTGATGATATATATATATATATATAATATATACATACAGCCAGAATGGGGGGATATCATGCACAAAATGGCGATAGGATACAAATAACCAGCAAATAATGGGGTTTCTGCTAGTAAATATGTTGGCGACCAAGGTTTTCACCAAGACATAATGGAACACAACCGTAACATTGGGGGTACCACAAACAAAAGTGGTGATAGGACGCTAACTAGCAAGGAAAGGGGTTCCACATGGCATGGGAGTGTAACTTGGCATCACAATCTAATCTGGGTATGGCGGCCGAAAGTCAGATAGCATTTTGCACACATGACTGAGGATCAGTAACCATCAAATGTTGGGGTTCATTTTTTGACAAAACACATTTTGAATCAGACCCATGTGTATAAATCTTGCCTAAAAATGGATTCGTTAATGTCCATGAAGCCACTAGGCACATTCTGTTCATTGTGAATTTTGGCTATTCATTTTTTATTTTTTGGGAGCACATTGGAGCCCAATTTGACCTGCACAAACAACCAATGCATTCCTTGTTCCTCAAAGTACCGTTTTTTGTTTGAGTCACAGAACCTAAAGTAGAATTTTGTTGGGTGAATTCAGGGTCAGGTTTACCTGGACAATTTGGTGCCCTCCAGTTCTAAGTTGGATTGATTTCGAACCCCAAGAGTTAACCCGTTGACTTATTCCCACTGAACTCAGTAGGGGACACCACCTTGTAGAATTCTGAATAAAATCCATGTATTCTGAAATCTGAATCCCCCAATTCCCCCAAGATTTCTTCAGTAGTTCATATGTTCCCAACATATTCCCAACACATTCCCAACATATTCCCAACATATTCCCAACATATTCCCAAGATATCCCAATCAAACGATGAACTCTCCATGTTTCTTTGCAATTTTCTCTGAAACCTTGTCGCTTGGACGCTTTCCTGAAATCCAGGATGGCGTCCACAAGTTCCCTGCATGGATGTGAGTGGCATTGGTGCCCTATTTTTGTGATGATGACATCTACAGCAGGCAATTTATAGGTGAAAAATGGTGAACATACCATTGTTGATAGGTTTTATTATGGTACTATTGACTAGTGAACCAGGTGAAGATATCCCGAATACCATTTTTTTCGTGATTTTACTACCTGCTTCAATGGGGGATGATGATTACTAACCCGAATATTTGCGAAGCAACCAGTATTTCATGGGGTGGCATACGGGTGTCATGGCTCACTTTAAAAGATCTGGCGAAATCGATGGAAATGATTTTCATCAGCCTCATGATGTGGCCATTCACATCTCCATTTTTGGTTAATTGGCCTTAATTGACCTTGATTGACCTTAATCTATGGCTTTGACTCATCAACATTTCTTGGAGTTGCGACCTTGCTACAGAAGGGTCAAAACTTCTCACAGGAGATTTCCCCCACGACTGTTCTGAATAGCTGCTGAGTTCATGGATGCTAACATCACGTTGCTCCCTTTGGATCCAATGATAGTTGATCCAATGATAGAAACCATTCAATACCAAGCCTGGAGTGTGGCGGTGCAGCATCATCCTCGCAAGTCTCCTCATGTTATGTCGTTTCTTGCGACGATTTTCTCGGTTTTCGGCCACTGTTGCGGTTGCCGCTGTTGCGGCCGCGTGACGTTGTGCCCCAGTTTCAGCCAGAAAGTGGCGTTTGAACTCTTTGGGTTGGTCTGAAAGTGGGGTGTCTCGTAGGATAGCTATTGAAATATTGGGGAAAATGATGATAAGCCATTGGATGTAGGGGTATCTTATTTTCAGACCAAACCATTTGGATATTTTTGTGGGTCAAATTACATAAATTGTCATCCAAAATGAATGGTTCCAGCTAAACATAGCCACTTTTCTGAGCACTTCTTGTGACGGGACAATTATTTTTGCTTAGTGTATGAATCGACGGATGAAGCATCACAATTTATTCATCCATTTGAAGTCTTGTGTGTGATGGTTTTCGAACTACTCGCGGGATACTGGGAACACAAACAATGAGGCTACAATCAGTACAATCCATTCCCTTCAATATCAACACAGCCCCTAAATATGGTTCCAAATATGTGAACATATGTTGCTAAACCATGGTTTCTGGGGGTTGTTAAAATGGGAAGGGATTATTTTATGAGGGAGCTCCTTGACTTTCTGGCCTGCGATAAGCCGCCTTTCTTTTACGTTCCAACTCGGGTGAGACACGTGCTTTGTGACATCCTGCGATAAGTGCAACATACAAATGGACCATAGACTGAGATATGAGAGGTGGTTCCAGATAGCCCAAGAAGCAGTGAATTAGTTGAATTCTTCCAGCCATTGATGTTTTCAGCTGTCCAAAACAGGAGTTTGCCTCAATGTCGTTCAATGACCCAAAACCATCATATTTGCATTGATTTTCATCAGATCTTCCAAACATTTGGGCTACACTTAATGCAAAAACATGGAGACATTCCGAAGCCAATACCATCAACAACTACCATTGTTTTTGCATATTTTCACCAGCCATCATTGGGATGAGATTTATTGTATGTGTTCTTTTTTGCCACATAAAAGCAGCCTCTAAGAAGGGTTGAAAAGTCAAATCCCACTCGTTACTGGTAAATTGAAGCTTTGTTTCTGCATCTTTTTTCGGGCTTAGCTTCCAGTCAAGCATTTTTGACGGAACATATCTATACAATTCTATACATATCTCATTTATAGACGATTTTCCCAGCATCCATTGAGTTCGGGGCTTTCCAAGGGCCTTCTTCCGAGCGCTTTTCCATCCGCCAGGCGCCCGTGAGCTGCGGGATGATGGACTTGGAAGATTCGCCGTCACGCCGAATGGTGGGGATCTGACGGGCGGGACGTCTGATGGGCGGGACGTGAAGTTTTTTGGGGCTTGGCTCATGGCTAAAAACACCCCAGAAGATGATCCTGGAAATCTCTGGATGTACATAGTGGTGCCCCATAGATAGCGTTCAGTTGGTTTATAATGTTTATAACTACAACAAGTAGGACTTATGGTAGATATATCTATAGTTGATGGCGGTTATAAACTAACTTATAACTGGGGGGTACCACATTGTAGCTATACCCTCTGGTAAACATATACAAAAAGCTATTGAACATGGCCCAGTCGAAATAGTGGTAAATCCACCCGTGAAAATAGCATGGTGATTTTCCATAGCAAACTGTTAGTTTACCAGAGGGTAGTGATTATAATGGCATGTGGCAGGATTTTTCCCCACCTGCCAGGTGAGGGTTGTTAGATTTTATGTCAGTTGCCTCCTCCTCCTTCTCCTCCTCCTGCTCCTCCTCCTGCTCCTCCTCCTCCTCTCCTCCTCCTCCTCGTCCTCCTCGTCGTCCTCGTCGTCCTCGTCGTCCTTGCTCAACTGCGACCCGCGATCCACAGTGTTCGCTGCCGGACCTCAACCACGACCATCCACGCCCAGTGTTCCCTGCCGGACCTCAACCACGACCATCCACGCCCAGTGTTCCCTGCCGGACCTCAACCACGACCATCCACGCCCAGTGTTCCCTGCCGGACCTCAACCACGACCATCCGCGCCCAGTGTTCCCTGCCGGACCTCAACCACGACCATCCGCGCCCAGTGTTCCCTGCCGGACCTCAACCGCGACCATCCGCGCCCAGTGTTCCCTGCCGGACCTCAACCGCGACCATCCGCGCCCAGTGTTCCCTGCCGGACCTCAACCGCTCTTCTGACATATCTTCTGACATTTTATTTGGCATTCTATTTGACATATCTTCTGGCATATGATCTGGCATATCTTCTGGCATATCTTCTGGCATTCTATCTGGCAAATCTTCTGGCATTCTATCTGGCATATCTTCTGGCATTCTATCTGACATATCTTCTGGCATTCAATCTGGCATTCTATCTGGCATATCTTCTGGCATATACTCTGACATATCTTCTGGCATTCTATCTGACATATCTTCTGGCATATATTCTGACATATCTTCTGGCATATCTTCTGGCATATCTATCTGGCATATCTTCTGGCATATTTTCTGGCAAATCTTCTGGCATTCTATCTGGCATTCCATCTGGCAAATCTTCTGGCATATTATCTGGCATTCTATCTGGCATATCTTCTGGCATATATTCTGACATATCTTCTGGCATTCTATCTGGCATTCTATCTGGCATTCTATTTGGCATCTGGCATTCTATCTGGCATATGGCACTCTATCTGACATATCTTCTGGCATTGGCAAATCTTTCCCTGCCGGACCTCATGTAGGAAGATATGGGACAAAGAATGTGCAGAAGAAAGTTAGAAAGAATTT